TGTGTGTGTGTGTGTGTGTGTGTGTGTGTGTGTGTGTGTGTGTGTGTAAATGTGTCAGAGAGCTAGTTCCACAAATATCGCATCTTATTCTTCTCCGGATTTAAATTAGGACTAATGAAATCTAAGCCTTGACCGATTAGCCCACAGCAGAATAAGCAGAGTCATCTCCGTCTCAGAGGGCTTGGGTAGCTCTCTTCCCTGGGGGGGGGGGGGGCGGACGGGGGGCCGGGAATGTGTCTGGAAGCTGCTTGTACAAGCAGGCATTGAAGACTCTTTCTTAGACCCAGGGCTTTTTGTGGGTCGTCGAAGGAAGGAAGGACTAATGAAGATCTTGGGGTAGGCACAGCCACTATGCACATTTGTAGCCCCAGGGCCTCAGTGTTTTTTTTTTGTTTGTTTGCTTGTTTTTTTTTTTACTATATTTTTATTATTTTGTTTCTGTAACAAACTGCGTGGGAAAACAAGGTCGGAGAGATTCACTCTGGATCCTGGTTTCAGGGGTTCATCACCACTTGTCTCTATGGCTTGTGTGCCCATGGGTGGCGAGGGGGAATATCACACTAGAAACGCATGGCTGAGCAAAGCTGCTCACCCCACGGCAGCCCGGAAGTGGAAAGAGGAGAGAAGGGAGGGGCAGAAACAAGACATCTTTAAAAAGTTTGCCCCTCATGATCCATTTTTCTCCCACCAGACCCCACCTCCTAACAGCCCGTTGTAAACAGAGACTGCTCATTCGCTTTCTGGCTGACCAGACCTGAACATCACACAGAAACTGACCAATAGCTTAGATGTATTCCCAACTAACTCTCACATCTTACATTAACCCACTTCTATTAATCTGTGTATCACCACAAAGCTGTGGCTTCCCCCTAAGGGTCCGGGTCCTTATCCTTCGGCAGCTACACGGCGTCTCTCTGTCTCTATCTCCTCTCTATGTCTCTTCCAGCCTGGCTATACTCTGCCCTGCCATATTAAACGTTTCTGCACCCTGATAAGCCTCTCTGCCGACACAATAATCCAAATCCAACTGAATTTTTAAAAAGCCCAGGTTTAATGAATACCAGTACTCCTGGATAGCTTTCCAGCCCCCCAGAGAAGCTGGAGAAGACCGGAAAATCATGTGTTTGTTCTCTGGGGAGCAGCTTAGATACCCTGTGGGAGTGGTCTTGGGCATCTCTGTGGAGGGTCCATCATTTGGTGGACTTTCTCAGGGGTGCAGTCTAGACTGGGGGAGTTTGGGATTGAACTTCCACCCAAACATTCCGGACTTTTGGGGGTATATGATGCCAGGGGCTGGGTTGAGGCTTCAACCCAAACATTCCAGACTCTTTGGGTATATGGATGACAGAGGCTCGGATGAGGCTTCCCCAAACACCATAGACCAAAGCAGCTTCTTTATTAAGCAATGGTAATAAGATATATTCAAGCATACAGGGGGGTTCCCACATCAGCCCATCCAGTGTGAACTCCCATGCTTTAACCCCTTGATCTCAGTGTCTTGGTGATCTAATTACCTCTCAGTTGCTACAAGCTGGGGACAACCTCAACGTAAGAGCCTCTTTGGGAGACACTTCATATTCAAGCCGTAACAGAGACTATGGGGTGGAAGGCCCTATCAACACTGTACTTCCTCCTTTGAACAGAGATGGAAGTGTGTCCAGCTGTTTCCTCAAATGGTAGAACTGAATTCTAAGACTTTACTGCTGACAATCTGCAGCCAGGTCCAGGCAGCATGACTCAACTTACCAGTCTGTCTGCCCACTGAGAAGTTGAACAAGTGTCACTGGTCACTGGCATCACATACTCTAAACAGCCCCTCGACACGGGGCCACTGGGGTTTGAAAGGAAGGAGGGGAGAACCCTGCTGCAGCTGCAGGAACCCTGCTGCCGATGCATGTCAACAGAGAGTGCAGCATGTTAAGGGACTTGCAGGGTCGGAGTGGGGGTAGGGCTTCCCTCGTCCCACCAGTTGGAGCGAGGATTGATTCTGCAGCCAGTTAATTGTCTGCAGCACAGTACAAGGGTCTCCGTTTCCACTCCACCTCATGGCCGGGTCCTCTAGACTCCTAGGCAGAGCCAAGCTGTGGCAGTGTGGCACTGCAGGGACTGCGTCCCATCAGTGAGGGAAACACACACAATGCCAGATCACCAGCTGAGTTCTTACCTGCCAACTATCACACATTTCCTGCTGGTCCTGAGTCCTTGGGAAAGTTGACTATATGGGGTGCTGAAGCATCAGTGGGCTTTCCACCTTCTCTTGTGACCCAAGTCACTAAACGGTCCAGTTGAAGTGGGCAAAAGAAGTTGGTATGGTGAGATGCCTCAGTCAGTGAGGTGCATGTGCACAATGACCTGAGTTCAATCCCCAGCACCCATGTAAAAAATGTCTAGCAGCACTGTGCCTGTGGTCCCAGATCTGGGGAGGCAGCGGCAGGCAGATTCCCCAGAGGTCACTAGCCTGCTAGTCAAGCCTCCTTGGTGAACTCCTAAGTTGAGGGAGAGACCCTGTCTCAAGAATAAGATGAGGAGAGACTGAAGACCCCTGATGCCACTTCCGGCCCTCCACCCCCCCAAACACACAGACACCCCCCCACACACACACACAGACACACCCACAGACACACACACATAGACACACCCAACACTCCCCCACAGACACACACACAGACACACACACAGACACACACACACAGACACACACACAGACACACCCAACACCCACAGACATACCCACAGACACACACACACAGACACACTCACACACACAGACACACAGACACACACACACACACCCCAGACAAACACACAGACACACCCACACACACTAAGTAAAAGTAGGATATCTTCGGGCCACATTTTCCAAGCACAGGACAAACAGATTCTGAGACTGGTTGATCCCCGTGTGTTAGGAGTTGTTATTCTCTCGATGACACAGGGCAGCGCTTTCATGGCCTTAGGTGTTAGAAGTCGTCTGGAGATGACATAAAGTCAATGGCAGCTGAGAGGATCTGAAGACACCCAAGATTCGGGTTCTGGGAGCTGGGATCCAGAGCAGTGCCCATTCAGAGGCCAGCACCACAGCCTGCTCATGACGGGGGACAGCGTTGACTACAAGGCATACACAGAGTTCAGAGCAGTTTGGAGCAGCTTGGTTTTGGGGCTACGCTGATGCAGAGACTGTCTGATGAATCAACTCTAGCCAGGCCGTGTGTTCGTAAAGGTGAGACAAGGAGAGCAGGAGCCTGCACACGAGGGGGCAGGCTGGAGGGGAAGCAGTTAAAACACACAAAGGTGAGTTCCTTCTCCCTCTCAGGCAGCAGGGACACTGCTTCCGCTCTGCAGACATCAGAACTCCAGGTCTGTGCTCCGTCTCCAGCACACTCGTGTGGTCTGCAGGATCTCAGCCTTAGCCTTAGCTGAGAGGAATACACATAGCTTCCTCCAGTGTCTCAGGCTCAGACAGCTAAGTACTGGCTTCCCAGGGCTCCAGGTTGCATGTAGTCTACTGGGGAAAGCCGAGTCTGCCCAATGGCGTGGGGCTATTCCCCCAGTTCCCATCCATGTACACGTGTGTCATCTAGCTACACCCAACACATAGATAGTGTGTTCTCTCTGGAGAAGCCCAACCGAAGCCCCGTGCCTAAGTTCCCAGTTCACTTTCGGAGCTGGCTGCAGATGGTGGCAAACCTGTCCCCCTATGACATTCTTCAGGTTTACTGACTGCAGAAACACCCTCCTTTGCTGCTATTTGAGGGATGCACTTGAGGCCCCTTTTCCACCATTTCCAGGTACACGACCCCATCTACTCACCCCATTTCCTCGCTGTCACAGCAGAGGGACCACGCCCTGGACAGTTCCATCCCTGCCAACAGCACCGTGATGCCGGAGAAGGCAGGAACATTTGGTGACTGGACAATGTTACACGCTCAGACAGCTGTGGGCCCAGAGGCAGCTTACAGGGCACCTTGGCATAGTCCCATGCCCCACCATGGGAGAGGGTGAGGAGGTTTAAGACAGACATGTGATCCAGACTGAGCAGTGGGTGAGGGAAGGGTTGTAACAGCTCACAGAGTTGGTACAGAGCATGCTCACAATCATGGTTTTGTCTTTTTTCAATTCCTGGCAGTGCCAGCATTGAACTCAGAGCCTCGCACATGCTAGGCAAGTGTTCCACATTATTTTATATTTAATGCCTTATATGTCTACTCATATTCTGAGGAGAGGCGCTGGGCTCTTAAAGTGAGTATGGACGCAGCCGTAGAGTTAAGAGCATCTACAATGCTTAGAGCAAATTTCTGGGTCGAATTTCTACTTAGCCTTTTAATCTTACACTCTACAGTCCTTGTCCTGTGTGAAATCCAGAGTACAGCAGTTGGTACCTAATGCATCATATTAGTGTTTGATTGAAGCTACATAGTTTTTTCCCTACAAAGGAACAGGTCTGAAATTCAATGTAAACTGATCAATGAATTATGATTATGCTGAAATTTTATTTTGGGGTCCTGTGTCACAAAATGACATGTGTAATGTTTACAATGGGTATGAGAAATTGAGATGTTTTATTTCTACTGTTGAGAATAAAACTATAGATAACGCTCCAAACCAGCATCAAAAAAAGCAGAGCAAACTTTTCTGTATATAAACTGTACATAAAACAAGGCACTATACATTTCTGGGGGGTATTAAGGTAGAAAGGTTGGTTCGCATAGATTCTTCAGAGTCCACACCAGGAAGTAAGTCTTTGTTCGCTTTAGCACCGGAAGCAGAACTCAGCACAGCCAGACCTAAGGCTGAAGGAGGCACTCCTGGGGATGGAGGGGGGGCAATGGGACAGACAACACACCTAATGACGGACTGCTAGCAGGCCTAACTCAACAGAAGCCACTCTGTCTACCTTGTAATATTGTTTTTACACCAAAGGAAAAGAATTGAAAGTGAATGAATACATATTGCTTTGTTAAATACATATTTGATTTATACGGTGTTTATATAAATATATATATATTTAGAATCCACAAACTATCAAAATAACACTTTATAAAGAGAATTGCTTTAAAAAAGGTAATGCCGAGCTGAAGCAGGAGGGCAGGGCTGCGGTGGCTGCTGAGGCAGCACTCGGCTGAGTGAACGGAAGAGATGGGTTTCTCAGTTTACCTGAACCACGGAAAAGAATGATCCCAAGAGTCTTCCTACACATTTACAAAATGCTCAACTCCTGGACAAGCTGTAGAGTTAATAAGGTCAGGTTTGGAAAAACTTTGATTTGAAAATACTTTGTTCTTTGACAGAAAAAATACCAGTCCAAAAATATATCCATTTTCTGGCCTAGCAGCATCAGAAGCAACCTCCTGGTGACGCCTGTCATTTTGAGTTCAGAACAGGCCCTTTGCTTTCTTTACGTTCACTTGCTTCCAAGTGGGCAGTGCGTTGAATTCGTCTCTGGTCATGTCGAGTGCAAACTGGAGGAAATGCAAGAGATGCCCAGTAAGTGGCCGAGTGACAGGATGCTCACACCAGTGTGACATCACCATCCCACACAAGGCACCACTTACCTCGAAGTCTTCATCTGTGAGATAAATCTCAAGCTTCAGAGGGTCCACTCCCTCTGGGAGTGGCCTGGCAAGCAGATCTGCCAGTGGGTAGATGGTTTTACAGAGCTTGGCTAAGACATCTTCCACCAGCGTGATCTGGTTGGAAACTTCAGTATCCTGGAGAGACGGCAGAGAACAGTTGAGTGGACATGAGTGATCTGTGGGGAGTTTGCAGAGCCCAGCTCTGCCCCTTATGTGCACAGTCTGGTCAGGAGCATGGTGTCACTGCACTGTGGACTGGGGGCTCTGAGTATCCAGGGGCCTTTCCTTCCCTGCCAAGTTTCAAATCAACCCTATGTTTGAACTGCTAATGAATGAATGAATGAATGTTGATGGGACTCATCTTACCTATGAGAACAGTGGAGAAAGATTATTGGATCTGAAATCAAAACATTAGATGCTTCCACAGAGGGGAATTTGTTTGTGCATATTTTAAAATAATTAAGCTAAAAAGAAATCATGCCCTCTCCCCTTCCCTCCACGCTTCATTTCTCAACCCACACTAAGGCAGGGAGAAGGGAAAGGTGTAGCCCAGTGGTAGAGCACTGCCCGGAATACATAAGGCTCTGGGTGACACATGCACAAACGCATACACGCATGCACTCAATCATGTGCATGCACACTCACACATGCACACACGTGTGTGCATACACACACACAGGGGTGGGTATTCTGAGAAAATCATCTTCAGCTCTCATACTTGGCCCTTGGAAGCACTGCCCTCCCTCTGGGCAGTTGGTGGTGGATACATGAGCTCATGTTACCACTGGGAGAGAGGTAGGTGCTAGGACGATGAGCCCATCGGTATGAACCACTCCTCACTTGGTGACTCAGAGATCTGAGGCGAGTGTTTTATGCCTCAGCTCCTCACAGGTAAAGTGGGGACGACAGAAGGATGAACATTAATATACTGTCCTGGTAATTAAATGAAGTCAAATGTAACATGGTTTGTGCTGGGCCTCACCAGAGCAGCACACAGTGAGTCTTAATTACAGCCTTGTTCCACACTATGCAGCTCACCACCCCGCCCCCCAAGCGTGAGCTACTGTGAGAGCAGAAATATGAGGGCGCCCCCTGTTGGGACTTAGACAACACGAGGGGGCTGCAGTGTCTGTAAACCTTGGAGCCCCTGGGCTCCGAGATCCACACACATTGTGAACTCCACAAATTGTTGCTCTGGCCGGAAATCAGGATGCAATCAGCTCCTTCCCTACGTAGATCAAATCTATCTGGCTAACACCGGGTTAGACGAGGCCCTGAGTTCCATTTCTAGCACTGCAGAAAGGCCAGGTGGGCAGATACACTTTGCATTACAAAGCTCTCTATTGCTATGCAATGGCAGATTTTTAAAAATTTGTGTATTTAAAATTACTTCTAAAATACATTCAGGTCTACCTATACTTACACTTGTTTACATAGTGGCATGTATACATGATAGACTAGGATCTGCAGATAAGGGAGAATATGTGTTTATTTTTTTGAGTTTGGGTTAAGTTGATTAATAGTATATGTCCAAGTTCACCCAGTTTCCTGATTCCATTTACTTTATAGGGAATATGTGCCACATCTTCACCATCTAGTCACCTGTTGGTGGACATCTAGGCTGGCTCCATTTCCTAGCTACTGGGAATAGAGTGGCGGTGAACATGGATGCACTGGTGTCTCTGGTGGGAGATAGAGCTCTTTGGGTAGATACCCAAGAGTGGTAGAGTTGGGTCATATAGTATTTTTTTATTTTTTTAGGAACTGATTTTCATAATGTTATATTAATCTTCACTCAGCCCAGCAGTGATAAGAACCCTTTTTCTCCTACATCCTCGCCAACATCTGTGCTCAAATTTCTCCTCCTTTCTTCCTTCCTTTTAAGAAACTAAATAAAGGTTTTATTTATTCACTTAATTTAAAAATGGTTTTAGGTTTTTGGACTTTAATACAATATATTTTGATCATATTCTTTCTTGATGGTAGCCATTTTTGACTTGGGTGAGGTGGTATCGTAAAGTATATTTGGTTTGCATCTCTCAGACTAGGTATGTTGGACACCTTAAAAAAGTTGTTGTTCAAAGCCAGGCGGTGGCGGCGCACACCTTTAATCCCAGCACCTGGGAAGCAGAGGCAGGTGGATCTCTGTGAGTTTGAAGCCAGCCTGGTCTACAAAGTGAGTTCCAGGACAGCCAGGACTGTTAGACAGAGAAATTCTGTCTTGGAAAAAAAAAATGGTCATCTTTTGAGAGCTGTCTGTTCATTCCAGTAGCCCCATTTACTGATTGGTAGTTTTGTTTCTTTGATATTTTCAAAGTTCTTTGTAAATTCTGGATATTGTCTGTTACCCCTGGACCCACGTTCAGAGTGCAGTCTGCTGCTTCTCCTCTGGTGGGGCTCCCCAGTGCAGAGGCCAGCGGAGGCCCGGGCTGGGGGTGGTGGGGGCTCACCATTTCTGTGATCTCGGCGATGTCCTCTCTGTGTTCCCAGCTGGGGAACATGTTGGTGAATGTCAGGGGCTCCAGCCCAGCATGGATAAGGTAAGACTTGGGGGGTGGCCTTTTGAGATTCTTTCCTGTTGGGGTGCAGAAGGCACATGTCAGTGGACCCAATGAGCCTGGCCTCCCTGCCTTTTCTCTGGTTTGGCCCATTTTCCTTCAAAACTCTTGACTTTCACATTTACAATGTGGATTATAGGTCACTCTAACAATGCTTTTAGGCTTACTTCTTTAACGCAGACGTGACATCGACCTGACACCCGCCCCCCACTTCCTGAACCTGACCAAATGTTTCTGGTTCCCTGGGGGTTGATGTTCCCCTGGGAACCCCCACCAGGCAGGTCTGCTTCCTTTCATTTGCCTGTGAAGGGTTTCCCTGACAGTCAACGACAGCATCTTCCAGGTGCGCGTGAGCACTGGGTGGTACCTGAAAGGCTGTTCACAGAGAGTTTTCCATGGAAAGAATCGACTGTACACACTCAGGTGTATTAAGCATCAACATGCAGACAAAACTGGCTTCTACTTTACATAAAAGGCCCCAGATTTCATGTGGATGCTGGCTAAGGAGCCAGGGATTCACTGCAGAATCTTAGTTTAGTCTTATTTTTACTGCTGGATACAACACCAAAATACTAAACGAAAGGCTGGCACTGGTTCTTAACCAGTTTGAGCACATCTCTGTTCTCTAATGTAGGCGCTGCCTGAAGAGAAAGGTGAGCTGTGGAGGTCACTCAGCTACTCAACCCCACATAAGAGGGGTGTTGGTGCAGGCGGCTTCACAATACCCTGTGGGTAAGCTCACCAAATGGACTCTCCTTTGTTCTGATGGCAGAGAATGGATTGACCTAAATATTGACAAGCGCTAGCAGTTAAAGAGGAGGGCTGGAGCCTTTTCGAGGTTGGGGCATCTCAGGAGGGACATGGTTGGCCTGTGATGCCTCTCCACCCCCTCCCTTTTGCTCTCACCTCGGCAATATTGCAGGACCGTCTCCATGGCGCTCTTCCGGTCTGAGGCCCAGCGAATGCGGGCAGAGCCAGTTATCTTGTTCTCGGCGGGCCACCAGCCTTGCCAGAGGTACACCTCATGGTGATTGTCAACAAGAAAGAGTGCTGTGAGGTAAGGGCAGAACCAGGCCATGAGGTACTTCACAGACCTTCCGGTGCATGCTGCCACATGGAAGCCTTGCAGCTCTATCAGCTGCCCCCAAAGTTCCGAGCTCCTGCACACTCTGTCCTCCCCGGTTAAACTATGAAGGACCCTAGCTGGACAAGGAGGTAACCCAAGAAAGGTCTCTTTGTTTCCTTCCTTCCCAGCTCAACCACAGAGCTGGTAGCCCTTTCAGATGTCACTAGGGCTCTGCTGTTAGCCACTTCTGGTCTCTAATGAGTTCACATCTGGCTTGCCCTCAACTCCTATGATGCTCTGAGCAGTCATAGAGGGAAGCGCATTTTAGACAGGATCCTCCTGTCTCTTCCTCCTTGCCTTCAAGCCTTCACCTGACTCCTCTATGAGACAAGTGCTCTCCACTTGACAGCTCATGGGCACTGAGGTCCCTCCTGACATGCATTTTGGGATTGCTTTAAAAGCCCGTGGGTGTTGATGATCTATCCAAAGCCCAGGAATGCAAGGGCAGGGAGTAGCCTTCTCTCTTAGATACTCGTGGCTACTGCTCACAGTATGACGTATGCATCTGCCAAGTCCCGAACTGGTGGTAGGGCAACTACTGTTGCAGCTCCAGGCTGAGGACAAACTATGAGCCAGGTGCTTGATTGGCAGGAAGTGGGAGGGTCTATGGAGAGCATTTCCTCTGTATAGGTTTGGGCATTAGGGCATGGCTTGGTGGGAACACTACTGGTCTTGAAATTGGGAGATTTAGTCTGTAGTCTTAGTTCAGCAGAGAGCTGTCCTATGTTCTTTTCCTTGGCCACTTGCTTTCCTAGGCTTTTTGGCAGTTGGAGTGGCTGCATGACATCTTCTGGCCAAAGCGATAAAAAGGAAAAGTCTACTGGAGTAGGAGGGTCATAACAAACTGCGCCTTTCCCGTATCCCCAATTTTAAATCCAAACATGGAAGCTGGAGAAATGGCAGCTCGCAAGGGACCACGAAGCAGAAAGTTGGAGAGGAAGGGTGGGAGAATGGCAGGGATGCCATGTGGTATGGTCATCGGCCTCTTTGGACGGAGGAAGCAACAATGCTACGTGCCTGCCTTTGTTTGCTTTGCCGTGGGTGGATAAAAGGAAATGTCCTCAGCAAGTACGCTAGCAGTGTACTTGGTAGATAGGAACTGCTCAAAAACAAAGGGAAAGAAAGGCTTCCAGGAGGGTGCCCCGCAGCCCAACCACGCCCCCTGCAGGCCTCACCTGGCTGTGGCGCGCTGTACAGATCCTCTTGCAGGAAAGGCATGGAGCTGACGGCAGAGGGCGCTCGCGCAGGGTACACAAACTCTGTGGCAGAGAAGTCTCCAGAGGAGCTGCTGAGGATGAACAGTCGGGGCGCGAAGTTAAAACTTCCAGGATCTTCCAAAGAAAAGAGAACAAAGCTAAGGACACCATATGCACCAACTTCCGGATGGACTGAATGTAAAATATGAAACAACTCGAAGAGCTGGTGGAAAATAAGGCAGGTTTGGTTTATATCCGCTTTCTAATGGGGAAGTCTGTTTTTGTGTGTGTGTGTGTTTGTTTTTTGCAACATTGGGCATCAGAGGCAAGCATTCTACCGATCAACAGTAGCTAAGTGTGTGTGTGTGTGTGTGTGTGTGTAACACAGGAGACACACACACACAGACGGACACACACATATGTGCACGTGGAAACATGAAAGGTCACCCCAACACTCCTAGCTATCAAATTAAACAGAAACAATATCTTCTCCAGTTTATCTGGTCCACAGGAGAAGGATACTGTACTCAGTTTATGAGTGATGGGAAATATTTGCTTTTGTTAATTTCTGTTAAGAAAAAAGGTTGGTACCTCAAGACCCAGCAATACCACTTTTGGGTATATACCCAAAGGATGCTCCATATCACAAGGACAACCATATCACAAGGACATGCACTCAACTATGTTCATAGCAGCATTATTTGTCAGAGCCAGAACCTGGAAACAACCTAAATGCTCCTCGACCGAAGAATGGATTAAAAAAAAAGTGTGGTACATTTACATAATGGAGTACTACACAGCAGAAAAAAATGACATCTTGAAATTTGCGGGCAAATGGATGGATCTATAAAACATCATATTGAGTGAGGTAACCCAGACCCAGAAGGACAAATACAATATGTACTCACTCATAAGTGGCTTTTATACATAAATCAAAGAAAAACCAGTCTATAATTCATAATCCCAGAGAACCTAGACAACAAAGATGACCCTAAGAAAGACATACATGGATCTAATCTACATGGGAAGTAGGAAAAGACAAGATCTCCTGAGTAAATTGGGAGCATGGGGACCAGGGGAGAGGGCTGAAGGGAGAGAAGAGAAAGGGAGGGGAGTGGAGAAAAATATATAGCTCAATAAAAACAATTGAAAAAAAAGGTTGGCCTAATGTCTTGGAGGACACTGGTTGATACAGAAGTCACGTGTCTAAAAATTTACTTAATTATGGATAAACATAAATAATTATTTTTAAGGGTATGCCACACTATTGTACAATACAGAAACCATTGGACATTATTCTCAGATATGGAGGATGGTTAGGTAGAGTGGAATATATTATAATGCCCTAGCATTACTAAGGTCTCAGTGGCAGCAAGGTGGGCACTGAGGCAATAAAGGGTGAGGGTGGTTTACGAGACAGTCGTCATGATTGTGTTTTCATTGAGAAGACATGAATTCTGGGTATCTGAGACCCATGAGCTCCTGAGCATGGGCTGCTCAGCAGGTGGTTAATAGAAGGAAGTTTGTCTTATGATTTGTATATTATAATTATATATATATTATAGGGGAAGTCAGGAAGGTACATGTTCACAGTCCTTACCTTCACTCTGGTGAATGGGGACAGCTATTCTGAAGTCAGTATATGAAACAAAGGAATCTTGTGTTTAGATTTGGGTCCCATCCCCAAGGTATCTCAGTCTCGCAAAACTCTCTGGATTTGGTCCCTCCCGCTCCTCTTGCACTGATGCTCAACACCAGCCGCTCTGCCCTCTAGTGCTCCAGCCGCTCTGCCGTCTAGCGCACCAGGTCTCCCCTCTGGATCCCCATGACATCCCACTGATCTAGTTCTGCATCTTGTATGTCTGTCTCTGCCTACTGGCTTGTAAATAACAATAAATGTTTATGGATTAGTTCCTAGGTCAAATCCCCAGATCGTGTCTACATTGTACACACATTTTCCTCAGTTCTCTGCAAGGATTACGTCCCTTTTTCTCAGAGGGACCTCTGAATCCTAAAAGATTGAGATCAACTGAGCGAAGGGCGTGGGCTCCATAACTCTTCCTTCTTCTCCCTGCTTCCTGTTGGTAAACTCAAGGTCATGCTAGTCAATGATGGCCTCTCCTGTCCACCCTTGAGCTTCAAGTTCCAAGTTCATAAGCTGCTGGTAACCATCACATGCTCATGTCCCAGAACACATCTCCCAGTAGGCACTGGGTCTCAGCCATTGCCTCCAAACCTTCCCCTTCCAGCCATGACTGCCAAGAACGCACTGTCTCTATGTGGCCTAAGGCTGGCCGACCTGGTGGGGACACCCTGTCTCGCTGGGGTTCCCACTGCATCCTTTGGCATGGATACTGGCCGAACCCGACTGCCATGTTACTGTTCATCTGGGTTCTCAGTCTTTCCTCCTCTTCTGGTCAAGTCACACCAGCCTTGGAGGCACAGCACAAATACTATCTTCTTACGAGGCCGCACACAACTTTTCCCGGTGGGAAAAATCCTGTGTCTTTTCCAGGCTCACACTCTTTGATGACGCATGACTTTATTTGCATGAAAATGAGCCACATACAGTGTGTGACTCAGCTTCCGTTTTTGGAAGATGTCCTCTGGGAGACTACCCTTGGTTTTATTTACTGTGTGCTGTACACAGCATGTGTATGTGGTATACACACATGTGTGAATGCATGCATGTGGAGCCTGAGCACTATCGTGTGTCATCCCGAGGAGAGCCATCCATTGCCTTTGAGATGGGCAGTGCCTGTCGTTGGCTTCGAGCGCCATCAATAGCCAGCCTAGGCTATCAAGGTCCAGGGGCCCTTCTGTTCTTCTCCCCCGGATCTAGGATTTTAAGGGTGCACTACCATACCCTACAGTACTACAGGTGTTCTAGTAATAAAACTTGGGTCTTCATGCTTGCAAGGCAGGTGCTTTGCTGGTGGAGCCAGCCCTCTAGACCTCAGTAAGTCTCTAGTGAAAAGAATCAGTGAGTGGACTGAGAAAAAGATGGACACATGGCTGCGCCATTACCTTGAAGCATGCAGTCGTAGGCCTTCCGGTCCCTCCTCCCCAAAGCATCCCAGAAGCCCAGGGGCTCGGATCCTTCATCGCACTCATGTATTGTCACGTTGCTGCTGCTGTGCAATCCTGCTTCCAGGGGACATCTGCATGGGAAACATGGCAGAGGCTTTACAGGCCTGGGAGTGTCTGCAGCACAGAATTACTCAAGACCAAATCCACATATCACCGTGTCTCTAACTAAAAGCAGTTCTCCCTGATGAATGAGAAAGTATTCTGTAAACATTCTATCAGCGTCTGTGCTGGAAGAAGGATCAGTCAGCTCTGGGGAAGCATGCACAGATACACACGACGTGCCACGAAGACAACGCAAGTGTTTGTATCTAGCACAACATCCCTGTTTATCGTCCTCTCCGCTAGCACACAAACTTCACTCGGAGAAAAGAGGAGCTTATTCACTGCTGACACCCACCAAGGAGGTGCTCGGTGAGCATTTGCTAAATGAATAAGTGAATAAATTAATAATGCTTTTTTCATCATTTTGCATTGATTTTAGTGGCCCAAGCGAAAAGCCTCTCGGGGCCCGAATGCTATTGGATTCCTCAGAGAACATCTTTTAAACTCCTCCGTCTCCACCATCCACAGAAGCATATTCTGAGAGGCCGGTTCCATCTGTCTGCCTGCTGGAAGGTTGCCTGTTTCCCTTCTCTCTGCCCTTAGTACGCAGCACCGACCTTCAGGGGAGCCGGAGGAAAGGCAGAGCTCATCGTCCCATGTCAGTGCCCGCAGAACAGGCCGACCCAGTAACCCTTTGTTGGTATATGGTGGAACACTCCATTTTTAGGAAAGAATCCAACAGTTCTCAAGGAATTGAGACTGCCCAGGCTGCCAGTAAGAGCAGAGACACAGTGGCAGACACCTCTGGCTATGTGGCTCCTCCTGCAGACCTTACCTACCAAGAAGCCCCCAGAAGAGAACCCCAGCAGTGTTATGCCCCAGGGCTCCTGACCTGGGGTCTGAAAACTCACTACTAGCTGCTGCCACACAGCTGGGGCTCCCCTGCTTTCTAAAGAAGGGCCAAGTTACTGGTCGGCCAGTTTCTTCTTTAGCTTTGCTAGTTCTGCCATTCTAAGAAAACATGTTCTCAGACTCTTCCAAGACACGGGCCTGGGCTGGACCTCTTTAACAGCAGAGGTTGCAAGCCGAGTGCTCCAGAGCAAGTGGCACCAACGGGAAGAAGCCAAAGTGACTGTGTTTGCTGGGGACATCTGCCTGGCTGTCTTTTGTTTGTTTGTTTCAGACAAGATCTTACTGTATAACCTAGGCTATATACCCCTAAAATCTTGGCCTAGCCTGTGCCTCCTGCCTCAGAATTCTAGGAGCACAGTGCTGGCTCATGGTTGCCTTTCCTGGAAGCAGGCATGTCTTCAGAAAGCTGGAAAAGCCTGTAAATTGGAGGTTTTTGTGGAGATGCGTGCCCCCTGGACTTAAGTCAGAGCCCTGGCTGTAGTTGCAAAGATCCCTGTGCAACTGTGGTCACTTTAAGCACTCGGGACATCCCTTGCTGCCTTAGCATCTCTCCAGGAGTTGGAGCAACACTCACTGTTCCTTGATTTTATTCGCAGCAGTCCTTCCAACCTCCTTTGTGTGGCCCTGAGCCTTGCATCCATGCCACAGGTAAATGAGGGCCTTGTTTACGTTCAGAACAACCATGGAAGTCCTGGACCTCAGGCTGCTGCAGTGACAGGCCACCTCCAGCAAGTTCCCTTCCATGGGCACCTCTCCTCGCACACAGTACAGTCTCCAATCACCTGCAGGGCACAGCAGAGACACAGGGTTATGAGGGGCCCATTAGGCCCCCTATGTGCTGTCAGAGACACATCGTAGGGATGGCAGGACTGCGTCTGAGGACAGGCCGAGCAAGGACAGTGAGAGGTCTTTTGGAGCTATAGATAAGTCGCCAGAAGTTCATAAAGTAGAAAAAAATAAAAACCTTTCCAAGATTTACATAAAATACTAAGACTCTAAAGAGAGAAATATTAAGGATTTAGTTTTGGGGTGCTGGCCATGAAAAGATTATGGTAGAAAATCTGCCGGTTTTTAATTTTCATGAAGAGTGTGGGTAGTTACTGAGAATTCAGTGCAAGACAACTCTCCTAGCCGCTCCACACAAAAGGGCAGATCAGGAAGGAAACACTATGCAGGGTGGGGGTCCCCACAATGCAGAACCTGGCCAGCACTAGGCAGATTTCAGCGGGAAAGACACTACTTTATGAGGTCAGACTTACTTTAAGGTTTTAATTTTTTTACTTTTAATTATGTGTGTGTATGTGTGTGTGTGTGTGTGTGTGTGTGTGTGTGTGTGCGCACATGAGTGCAGTGCTTGTGGATGCCAGAAGGGGGCATCAGATCCCGCTGGAACTGAAGTCACAGCTGGCTGTGGACTGCCTGATTACTGTGGGTGCTGGGAGCTGAATGTGGGTCCTCCGTAAGATCAGTGTGTGTTCTTAACCACTGAGATATCTCTCCAAATACCTTCAGGGAGAAGAGACAAAAACTGAATTCTAACACCAAAAGCAACTTACTTTGTGCATTTTCTTCTTCCTCTTCCCTTCTTCCAGAGTGCACCACCATACCTCCCTGGAAACACTGAAGAAAACAGGGGGGTTCCTTTCCCTGCAGAACCTGGACCTTCAAATTGAAACATGGGGAAACAGGTCATGAAACAATACTTGACTGTTTTAGGGAACCTGGCCAACACCAACAGGACACACACAAGTCAACATCCCCACGGCAACTGAAGTAGGCAGTATTAGAAGTGTAATGCATAGGCTTTTTTTCTAAGTATTTTCAAGTATAGCTTCCCCTGTAATGTTAGACAGGAACGTTACTCTGCTGCCAGGTGTACTGCCTTTCACCACTCACGGTTTTCTGTCACGGACCATCCTTCAGAGTCATGGACTCTGGCATTTTCATGGCACTTTATGTAGGGCTATGACGTGACTGATTTAAATGTGTTCAGCAAGGCCCACCTCTCAGCCATGAGGAGGAGGAGCTGCTGACTCACTGAGGGGTGTCCTCCTGTCCCATGGTGCTGGCTCAGTCTTCAGTGCCCCTCAGGGCCATGCCCTCAAGGCTCAGCTCCCTTAGGACGTGCTCTGGGAGGCTGTTTCTAAGAAGTGAGTCTAGTGGGAAGTGTTAGGTCGCTGGGGGTATGTCCTCGAAGGGGGTAGATTCACTCTGACACGTCTGTCTGCTGTGCCATGCCACCTCCTCACAAGCCCCAAACCTACACAGTCTACCAATTATGGCAGGGAAGCCAGAGACACCCAGGGTGCCTGTCATAATGGCGGGAAGTCAGCACTGCCTCTTACTGCTGGGGTGCCTGTCATAATGATGAGAAGCCAGCACTGCAACTTACTTATGGGGTGTCTGTCATAATGATGAGAAACCAACCCTCATCTTACTGCTGGGGTGTCTGTCATAATGGTGGGAAGCCAGCCCTTGTATTATTGTTGGGGTGTCTTTCATAATGACAGAAGTCAACACTGCCTCTTACTGGTCTCTTCTCGGTGACATGGCTCTTCCTGACTGCTCTGGCATCCTCTCATGAGCAGCAAGTGACACCACTTGCTCTCACCTTGGCAGACTCCATCCCTTACAGAAGGACTGTTCTTTGAGCCTGGGCATCCTGGGCATCTGGGTACCCAAAAAGGTAGAAAACTTTTGCACCATAAGTTATCTTACCAAGCTCAGGTCTGCTGGGCACAGGCAAGCGCCATTTTGTGGAAGTGTTTGATGTGTTTATGCTTATTCTCCATGTGTTGGATGGAAAAAAAATGAAAGGCTTGAAGGAGAGAAATTAACCTCAAACTCCTACTGTGTAATAAACACAGGATTAAAACATATTCCTTCATGACCTTTTGAAATCAGGCAGCTGAAATCACCTACTTATGGGTACACGTTACAACACCACTGTTGCTAAGGTCTACTTCTGAAATATGATCTATCGTGGAAAATATTCATTCTGTCTTCCAATTATGTTTAGGGGACGTCACTAGTTCTGAGAACATTTCTCATGCCCTCAGGCTCTGGCCAGTTCCTCATCCGGCTAAGATGGTAGAAACACTTGCCTCAGCGTCACGCTCTCCCCAAACTCCAGAACCAGTTCCTACTTTAACAGCACTAATGGGATGTGACACAGGGCATGGACAAGTCAAACGTTAAAAGACACTGTTGGGGCCGTGCTAGGGATGCAGCTCAGGAGGCTTAAACCCCTGCCTAGCACAAACAATGCCCTGACCTCCCCCCACCAAAAATAAAACGTAACAGAAGAACGGCTCAGAAGTCTTCAAGCCCTTGTATTCGGATAGTAGTGCCTGCCAGGCTCGATGTAGGCTCTGAAGTCACGAGCCCGAAAGTAGAATCTCTTTCTTGGTCATTGGGAAAAATTGTAATAAAAAAGCTAACAAAATGGCAGTGTGATTTTAAGCTGTGGAAACCGAGGAAGGAGGTAAAGGGGCCGAGTAAAGGGAGAGGGAGAGGGGCTTGCATAATTTGGTTGTTAAGGTTCTCAGGCCTAAACTGTTCCCCAGTATGCCTGCACCACCCAATGGAAGCCTGCGAATGCTTGTCAGCTTTGGGCCTGCTCCCTCTGAAAAGGGGGGGGGTGGTGTGTCTTTGTTTTGTGGGATCACCTGTTTTAGGGTTAGGAGGAGGCCTCTAAGAACAGTGGCCCTTGCAATTGACTGGATTCAGCACCTGATACCCACTTCATTGAAGACGGGGCTGCAGAAGGGTAGGATGAAGTGTGGGGTGGGTAGGGTTCAGAGTCTGCAGAAGAACCAAGGCTCCGTGCTCTGACAGAGTCTGTCCTCGGGGTCCAGACGTGCAATGGCCCCCAGAGCTTACCTGGGCCCCCCTCTCTTCATCCAGCTCCACCGTCATCAGAGCTGATGTCCCCTTCTCACTCACGGTCGAGTGCCGGCCTTGCCAGAAGAAGTAGACACACTTCTCTTTGCCGGCCACTCTCACGGGATGCTCTCCCTTCTGTCGGCTTCCCACTATAGAGAGCAACGGCAGAGTGAGGTGAGCTGGGACACCAAAGGGGCGGCAAAGAAATGTCTGGCCGTATTCCCAGAGTCTCTGAGGGCCAGATAGTAAGAAAAAAAAAAAAGTGGTGGAGCCAAAATGGGTACCATCTTTTTTCTCATCTGACCGAAGGGTCTTCTGGGAACCCAGGCAGAGGCAGACTCCCTCTGACCCCTAGTGTGTGGCCTGGGGGCATGGAGACAGAGAGCAGGGCCAGACTCACACAGACACACTTTCCTACACTCTGCCACTCTTGGTAGAGGACTGGCTGAAGAAGGAATGATGTCACCAAACGCTGGAAGAGCTTCAAGAGCAAAGGAAACATCACAGTCCGCTAAAACAGAGTGGTGGAGCTTGACCTTCTGCCTCTCGTGTCCCAGCAAGGCTGGCGTGTGGAGGGGGGGACAGGGCTGGCGTGTGTGTGTGGGGGGAGGGGGCGGGCGGGTGTGTGGGGGGACAGGGCTGGCGTGTGTGGGGACAGAGCTGGCGTGTGTGGGGACAGAGCTGGCGTGTGTGGGGACAGAGCTGGCGTGTGTGGGGAGCAGGGCTGGTGTGTGTGTGGGACAGGGCTGGCGTGTGTGGGAACAGAGCTGGTGTGTGTGTGGAGCAAGGCTGGCGTGTGTGGGGCAGGGCTGGCGTGTGTGGGGCAGGGCTGGCGTGTGTGGAGCAGGGCTGGCGTGTGTGGGGCAGGGCTGGCGTGTGTGTGGAGCAGGGCTGGCATGTGTGGGGCAGGGCTGGCGTGTGTGGGGACAGGGCTGGCGTGTGTGGGGACATGGCTGGCGTGTGTGGGGACAGGGCTGGCGTGTGTGGGGCAGGGCTGGTGTGTGTGGAACAGGGCTGGTGTGTGTGTGTAGCCATCTCTGTCCTGAGGTATCCTGTCACCACAGCACAGAACAGCACAACTCATGGTCATAAACTGGAATTTCCAAAGCTGAGAGCCAAAATGATCCTTTTCTCTTTACAAAGTGATTGCTTCAGGAGTCTTGTTATAGTGACAGAAAACTGACTTAGAAAGGGTCAGCAATGGAAGAATGCAGCTGCAGGCAACACAAACATATTTAAAAATTAACACCCAAGCTGGGAGTGGAGGGCACATCTGTAATGTCAGGGCCAGTGTGTGTGTGTGGGGTGGGAACAGGCAGATCCTTGAAAACTCTTTGGCCAGCCAGTGTAGCTGGTCTAGAAGCTCCAGGGTCAGTCAGGGACTTGTCTCAGAAACCAGAGTGGGAGTGATCAAGAGTGATTAAGGGATGAATACACACTCTCTCACACAGACAAACACATGTGTGCTCACCACACGGACACACTCACAAGAGCACATACATGCACTGCCCCAAATATGTAAAATGTACACACATAATAGTTGAAATAAAAACAAATATTGATAACTAGGAGATTTTCAATGAGGCATGTTAGTACATGCCCGTAGTCTGGGCTGCCAGAGCTGGAGGAAGAATGACTGTGGGGTGGAGACCCTGTCTCAAAACAACAAAACCAAAAGGGTGGGGGCAAGGAGCTCCCACTGGGTCTGCCATCACCACATTTCCACGGTGAGGGTAAGAAGCTCCCACTGAGTCTGCTATCACCACATTTCCACTTTAATCTTGCTGATAAAATTATTATTTTGAGATCTGAAGGTGAGAAGAAAGCCCCCTTAAGTCATGAAGAGGTCAGCTCATCTTTATCTGATTTTGGGCCCTTTGCTTAGCAAAATACTCCCAGGTATTTAAAGTGATTCTATTAATTCCTCAAACTATTTGCCTAAGCCTGGACTTCGGTACCATCTACTGTGGCTCTGAACTGATCGTGTTTGCATAGCCTTGAGTGGGCAAAGTGTAACTGTGAACCATCCACGAATCATTTATAGACACCCAGAGTTAATTTAGATAGCATCAAAAACCTTTGTTCAATGTGATAGAAGGCCATTCTGTTCTCCAGGTTACTGGAGAAAGCTATGTTTAAAAGCTATCATGACAGTTTATACATCCCGGGACTTAAATCTACTGTACAAATATAATTCACACGTCAAGAAACTTCACCCTAATGTTCTGAAGCAGACCTCAGTGTATATGCCTACAATACACTCTATTTCCTCAAGGACATTTTGACTAATGTCTTACCTTCTTCAGAATACCCAAACTTAGTCCTACACAGATTAACTTCATTGCTAACACATTTGCTTTTAACTTAGTAATATGAGGGTCTATAGTAATCCACCAGACTGTAGTCGTTACCCAAACTCCTGACACAGCACACTGCTAGAGAACTGTCGAGATTAAGTCTGTTTCTGGGCTGTGTAGACAGCTCAGCTGAAGGGCCTGAGCTCCATCCTTAGAACTCATGCTAAGGAAAAGCAAAACACTGCTCAGGAGAGATGGAGACAGGTAGATCCTCAGAGCTTGTTGGCCAGCCAGCTTCACCACTTGGTAAGCCCCAGGCCATAGAGGGGTGGAGGGTGCTGAGGACAGCCCGTGAGGCTGCCTCTGACCTCCTCACAGCTATGCACACACACACACATGTACACACACACACATGTACACACACACACACACACACACACACACACACACACACACACACATGCACTGCCTGGAAGCCTGGAAGGTAAGGTCCTGGAGACCCCATTTCTGGTTCTGCTTGTTTAAGAGGCCCCAGAAGTCTAGAGTGCATTGGGTCCAACCCTGACTCAGTCCTGCGGAACCCCACATCCCACACCAGGGTCAGATTCAACCCTGTTCTGTGGGGTGAACAGCACAGTGGGGTCAATGTCGCAGTTAGCTTCCAAGAGGCCAGGACAGACTTTAGCCTGTGGCTTTGCTTTCTTCTGGCCATGGGACGGTAGGTGGCCCTGTTCTTCATCTGAGAAATCCAGATAATAATAGCCACTGTGAGGGGCAGGGGAAGACTCCAGCATCTTGCCTGGGCAGATGTCTGTGGGGAGTGCCACAGAATGAAACCTAGCACTGCCCACTGCATAATCCATGACCCTCACAGCCACCTTACCCAACCATCATGTGTTGGCTGCCCAGGTTGGCTTCCTCACTGATGGCAGGCCCCAGGTCATGGGAATCAGCGCCCACATGACCTGACATCCTGTTGCTCTCCCTGCGCTTGGTTTACTCTCCTTCCTGCCATACACTCCCTGGAGGGGCTGTTAAACAGCCCTTCACAAAGCAGCCTGCACAGGGCAGGTGGTCATGAAGAAGTGCCATTGGTAGCAGACTATCTCTCAGACATCAGGGAAGAACCCAGAAGTTCTTAGTCTGCAAGACCTGTGCTTGCCGTGGCCCTGTGCTCAGCTGGATCTAGGTTCCCGGGTGCTGAAGGAAGCTAGGAATCTGTCTTGAAGTCACAGAGCTGTGATGTAAGCCTTCTAAGAGAAGGACAGAGCACTATGGACAACGATTACTGCTTGGCAAAGAAGAAGGATTGCGCTCCAAGCTCACAATCCTACACACACACTAACACACACCCTGTGGTCTCTAGTATGAGGTGTCCAGATGAACGCGCTGCTGCAGTATTTCACCAACTGGAGCCCAAAAGACTCTAGTGGAGCTAGTTCCACACACCTGGAACAACCTCAGTGTGAAGGCGGCTGAGACAGGAAGACTGAGTCAGCCTGGGCTACATAGTGAGATCCTGTCTTAAAAACCAAACCAGCCAAGTGGTGGTGGCACATGCCTTTAACCCCAGCACTTGGGAGGCAGAGGTGGGCAGATCTCTGTGAGTTTGAGACCAGCCTGGTCTACAGGGTGAGTTCCAGGACAGCCAAGCCTACACAGAGAAACCCTGTCTCTCAAAACCAAACAAATAAAAACAAAACCAAACAGAAAAATTAAACCCCAAGCCAAGCTAAAAAAAAAACCAAACCTCATAAATAATCTAAAAATGAATCCAATTAATATTTATTATTCCAGATCCATAGAACAGAGTTAGTGCTCTTAGTTTCAGAGGAGTGAAGGAGGGAGGGAAGTAGGAAGGGAAGGAGGGAGGGAGGGAGGGAGAGAGAGAGAGAGAGAGAGAGAGAGAGAGAGAGAGAGAGAGAGAGAAAATGAACGAATAACAAATGCCAAGAGGTCAGAGGCAGAGTCTGGTATCTTTCTCTGTCATTATCTACCGTACTTTTAGAGACAGGTCTCTCAATGAGCCCAGAGTTCACACACTGTGCTAGGGGAGGCGGTCTATCTGTTTCTGCCTCCCCAGAGTGAGGATACAGTTACAGCCACCATGCCCAGCTTTAATGTGGATGCTGGGCATCCAAACTCAGATTCTCATCCTTGTGTGGTGGGGACTTTACCCACTGAGCTATCTCTGCAGCCCCAAGAGGTGTGGGATTCCCCTCTGTATGCTGTGAATATGTTTTATTACCATTGGTGAATGAAGAAGTTGCTTTGACCTATGGCAGGGCAGAATAGAGATAGGTGGGAAAACTAAACTGAATGCTGGGAGAAAGAAGGTGGAGTCAGGCAGACTGAGGGAGAAAGACACCAGAACCTCACCACGAAACCATGAGCTTCTTGGCAAAATATAAAAATAATAGAAATGGGTTAACTGAAGATATAAGAGCTAGGTAGGAATATGCCTAAGCCATTGGCCAAGAAGTTTTGTAATTAATAAAGCTTCTGTGTGATTATTTGGGTCTGGGTGGTGGGGAAATGAAGACACAGTCTCAGTTTACATCAAAGAGGCTTTTTGTTGTTGTTGTTGTTTGTTTTTTAGTTTTTTTTGTTTGTTTTTAAAGAGGGGGTTTCTCTGTAGCTTTGGAGCCTGTCTAAACTAGCTCTTGTAGACCAGTCTGGGCTCGAACTCATAAGAGATCTGCCCGCCTCTGCCTCCCAAGTGCTGGGGTTAAAGGTGTGTGCCACCACCGCCTTCTCCAATAGCTTATTTTTGTTGGGCTAAAATCCAGAACCTTGCCTATGCTAAGGAAAATGTTCTACCACTAAGCTACACCCCTGCACCTCTACTTAAACAACAAACAACAAAAGCAAGTCTTTGGCTGTGCATTTACTACCAAGCTGAAGCACCATTTAGCTTCAGTTTAAAGCACTCGCATGAGCTACACTCATTGACTTCTTCTACAGCACACAGGCCACATGACAAGACCATGTGGAAGCCAATCATGACCTTTTCCAGAAACCTTTTTAAGGCAGTGCAAGAGTGAGGAGCAGGCATGCATTAGCATGTGTTTGTTTCTGGACGTGAGCACCAGTGTCCTGGCCCTCCAGGCCGCCAGGACTCCCACTGTCCTTCTTTCCAGGTTCTTACCTGCACATGGTCAGATTGCCTCAGGGCTCTGAAGCACACGAAGCACCACACATGATGCAGGGCACCCTGTTCCGGGGGTTGTCTTCCCAACCTTTCCGAACAGAGATGGTGAATGCTCACTAACCTGCTGTGCTTGCCATGTACTTCCACTTGACCACATAGGCATCCCCCTCATGGAACTGCCCGATGCTCTGCCTGGGGAGCCGGCTGTAGTCGAATTCCAGGATATGCCACACATCTACAGAGACGGTGGCAATCTCAAACTGTCTCCTGTCATCTCCTTCCACCAGGCCATAGCCACGGCCAACATTCACCCCATCCAGGATGGTGCTGGCTGCCATCTGGGGCACTGCCACCATCCGTGCCACATCATAAGGCTTGGTGTCAGCCCTAGGATCATCCTACAAGAGAACAGAGATGCTCAGTGTCCCCTTGCTGCAGACATCTTTTGCTACACCCCATCAGTTTTGATTGCTTTTACTTTTTCTCTTTTTGTGGTGCTGGGGTGGAACCCAGGACTTGATTGCCAGCCAGGCAATTGTGCTACCATAGGACTATATCCCCAGTCCCATTTTAGCTGTTCATGGGACAGGGCAGAAATATAGCTTTCATGGCATCTCAGGGTGTCTGACTGCACTAGGAGAAGGCTATGTTCAGAGGAAAGAATGGGGGTCCTGCACACCCACTGCTGCAACAGTGGAGCTGAGACTGGAGTAGAAACCACTCTGGCCTCTCTAGGGTGCCCCAGCAGGCTTTTTGCCACCACAGTCATTTTCACTGGTCTCCACATAGGGCCTGCACTCGGGGCTTGATCACTGTACCTTCTGCTGGACAACTTCCCCAGAATTCTTCTCTGTGGGTCTCTTCAGCTCTGTCCAGTCGAGGAACTTCTCTTTGAACAGAATAGTTTCGTTGTGCTCCGTAACTCTCCCAAATATGGCCCAGTCAGGTCGTCCTTGCCCTTTCCTGCAGGGTGGGAGCAGGTAAGAAAAGAGCCCAGATCCAGCCGTGCCAGCTGTGGGGACAACCACAACATTGCAAGTGGCTGTATCCTCACTAAGTTTCAGAGACTAGCTGAGTATATTCTGTAAACTTTCCTCTGCAGGCTTGCTGAGATTACTGTAGAACAGGCTCAGCTTCTGCTTTGAAAATCTATCTCTTACATGCCATGAGATGCTGTAGGAGACACAGTAGCTTGTGGTGAAGGACATGACAATGGGAGCAGGGTCTTGGCCCCTTGTCTACTTGCTGGTCAGGGCCCAGTCATTTCAATGCAGCGGATGTCAGCTGCTTGAGTGTTAAAAGGGGTTGGGTTCACAATCTTGGCTGCACCTTAGTGTCCCCTGGGAGATTTTAAGACAGCTGTTCTCAACCTGTAGGCGGAGACCTTTGGGGGGTCAAGCAACCATTCCACAGGGGTCACCTAAGACCATTGGAAAACAGATTTGTACACTCCAATTCATAACAGCTGCAAAATTACAGTTAAGAAATAGCAAAAAGAAAATGATTTTAAGGTTGGGAGTCACCACAACATGGGGAACTATACTAAAAGGGTCTCAACATTAGGAAGGTTGAGCACCACTGCTTTAAGACATGTTAGGATATAAGTCACCCTGTACCAGCCGCAGTCCCTACCCTGGGCCTGGCAGACGTGTTTTCAAAGCTTTTCCAATGATTCTGTGGCACATTTAGCAGAAGCCACTGGGTCAAGTGCATCTGCGCTCATGCATTTAAGTACTAATTGGCCATGATACAGCATCTATGCTCCAGCATTAATCTATCGTATTAAATATGCACTCTAGGTTCGGTTTTAGCCTTCAAAAATCCCAGTTCTTACAGTATTAATGAGAATTTGCTTAAAGATTTATTTTTTCAATACATAGATATAATATTTAATTTTTGTGGTTTTCTTGCTTTTTTCCAGACAGGGTCTTTCTCACTCCGTACCTCAGGTTGGCCTGGGAGTCAGTAGCCCAGGATGACCTTAATCTCCTGAGTGGTCAGTTTTCTGAATGTTGGGGCTGCAGGTCTGGCTTCTAAGTATTGAAACCAAATGTTCACAGTTACTGGACTGTAACGGGAGAAACTGTGCAGGGACCTCGAAGTCTGTGTGATGCCCTGTGTGGTCCCAGGCCATGCCTGCTCCTTATTACACAACACACACAGTTTTAGAGGATTTTAGAGGATCTGGTAGAGAAAAATCATCAATGCAGGAATGCTTTTCTTTAAATTCACAATCATTTTTTTAGAGTTTGTGCTTGCTCTGATTTCCCCAAATAGTTTTTAAAAGTCAGTACACGGTAGTGAACGCTAAAATCACAGCCATTCTTTAAATCCAGTATCCTTCTCCTTCCTTCCACCCCAGAAGACATAAAACAGCAGCACAAAGTGTAGGAAGAGGAAACCCTGGGAAGTTCTTAATTATCACAACAGCACCAGAGACTCTGGAGTGTGTATGGTGGTCCTTCCTAAAGCTACAACCTCCATATTCTATGTCAGGTGACAGCTAAGGGAAGGTCTGTTTGGAGACGACACAGGTCTGTGAGAAGAGCAGGCAGGCCTGCACAGCAGCAGTGGCACCTGGGAATGAGCGGGTTGCACTCGCCAGGGTCCAGCGGGTTGATGTCACAGTTCTCATAGTCAAAGGTTCCGTTCCACAAGTGCTTGGCCAGCTGGAATGCTATTTTCCGTTGTGCTAACGTGACTTCCTTCCCATGCCACACGTAAACTTCACTTCCAAAGTCAAACACCAGGACCTGGAGACAGCACAAAAGGACGTGTGAACTTCACGGGCATCTCCGGACTCGGGCCCTGTTGATGACTTCACACTTCTTAACATTCGTGCCACCCAAAGCTTTAAATCAAGAGTTATGGTATTTCCCTGTCTTTGTTCCTTCCTCTCTTCCTTGCTTCTCCTTTTCCTCTCTCCTCCTCTCCCTCCCCTTCCTCATCCATCCATCCATCCATCCATTCATTCATTCATTAACACACAGCTTATCACACACATGGCAGGTGCTGAGGAACCTGAGGATTCAATGCCATCTCTCCTGTGTGCAGTTTTAAGATCCCTGGGGCAGAGCTCAATACCATTCTTTTTTTAAAATTGTTTTTATTGAGCTCTACATTTTTCTCTGCTCCCCTCCCTTCCTTTCCCCTCCCCTTTTACCCTCTCTCATGGTCCCCATGCTCCCAATTTACCCAGGAGATCTTGTCTTTTGCTAATTCCTATGTACATTAGATCCATGCATGTCTCTCTTAGGGTCCCAGGTTCTCTGGGATTGTGGACTGTAGGCTGGTTTTCTTCGCTTTATGTCTAGAAGTCACTTATGAGTGAGTAGCTGTGATAATAGGGGCTGATTGCTAAGTGTCTGTGGCATGAACGAATGGAATGCTCCTTGTATTCCTTTTTGTCTTGCCTTCATTTCCAGCACCCTAGACACTGCTTTAACTCTCAACTAGACTCCACTTCATTTTCTTCCTAAGATTATTGCTCATTGTTTCTTTGGCTTTTGTTCCCATTCACATGTCCATATACATCATATCCTCAGTGTAGCTTTGGATGGCATTTTCCTCTCTATTATTAAAATACACCGTGACATGTTTGAGTGTATCTGTGTGTGCGGCAGGATGCACAGTGGCTGCACCAGTGCAGGAGCTGACACAGCCATCGCCGTCTGCTGCTCACTTCTGCCTTCTGTCGCCTCAGTGGTAAGAACAGTGAAAATCTCCACATTTTGCAGAGGTCTCCGGCAGTAACATTGACTGATGGTAGCTGTACACTGAGTAACAGATACCTAGACACACTCTGCTTCCCACACTTGCTGTTTCTGCCCTCCAACCTGCCTCCCTGGGTGCTTTTAGCCCCCACCCCCACCCCCGCATTACCTCAGGAGATTCTGTTTTCTTTTCTGTCTCTATATAATTGACTTTGTCCCCTCCACCCTTTCTGGGGACGATTCCACATGTGGTGAGATCACACAATATTTCAATATTTCTCTCTCCATGCATGACTTATTTCATCTTGTAAGCTCTAGGAGTTACATTGTTTGTATTTACTAAAAGTTTTAAAATTACATTTATTTTGTGTATGTGTATGAAATGTCAGTGAACAAGCTCTCTAATCAAAAGACAGAGTGGCTGGAAGGGTCAAGAAAAGAAAACATGGAACTGGATCTGTGGCTCAATGGGGAAGAGCACATACCACTCTTCCAGAGGACCCAGGTTCAATTCCTAGTACCCACATGATGGCTCACAGTGGTCTGTAACTCCAAGGCCAGAAAATCTGATGCCTTCTCCTGGCCTCTGGGGCATTGCATTCATGTGGTATACAGGCATACATTCAGGTAACATACCCACACAAATAAAAAGAAAATTAAAAAAAGAAAATCCTGTGACATTTGAAAAGAACATTGTTATGTATTTGTTTGTATGTTTGTTGTGAGTTCATGTGCACACAGGAAGCCAGAAGATAATTCAAGGGAGTTGGTTTCTGTGCCCACACTGTTGGACCTGGAAACTGAGCAAGTCCTCAGGCTTGGCAGGGAGAGCCTTTGCTCACTGATTCATTGTGCCTGCCCTGAATTCTTTGTGATATGTTTCTACCTAGTGGAGTTTAGGGTGTTGTGTGTCTTCCCCTTTCCTCTCAGCCATTAGATTACTTAATAATGCTGAAAATAAGTGTAGTTAATAAATACTTAGTGCGGGGCATGAAAAAAGTATTTGACAAATCTGTAAACTACATTAACTATATGCAAATTATATGCAATTACATGTACTCATACTAATTATTCCTGAAACTTTAGGACTAACTAAATTTTACTTTCATCTTTATATACCTCGAGACATGGGGATAGTATTTATGTTTTATATAAAATATAAACACCTTCAACGATTCCTGACATTTCTGAAAAATACTTTGAACTTTGTTGGTGTTGTAGATAGCAGTGTTGAAATAGCACATAAGTGTTCCTTAGCAAATGCCGTGTTTGCTAGTCAGCGTGGAGGCAGCTAGAACTCTCTGCCCTGGCTCAGCCCCAGCAGCGCTGTGTTCCTGGGCTGGTACCTCTTTGGACTGCAGAAGGGAGCACTTTGGAATCTTCCCCCAGTAGCCATCATCAGGGACGAGTTTGTCGTCTGTCAGGCGGTAGACACAGTTTGTCTCTATGATGGCTGTCTCATACAGTTCATCTTCCTTTGGGTCTCCGGCAGCTTCGGGATATGACAGGACATTAGAAAGTGGTTGACTTAAAGGACCAGTTAAGGGAGGGGGCTGTGGGAAAGGATGCTCAAGCCTCCTCCCTCCGAAATATAGCAAGCTCTTACACTGGTAACTGGTCTGGCCACCCAGGAGCTTCCAGAAGTCTTTGGCTGCATGAGTGTGTGTGTTAATCCCTTCCTCAATGGTCTGGATGTATGTAGCTCTACAACCAAGTTCCCTCTTTGTCTGAATTAATGTTGCAAGTTCAGATGCCTGAAAAAGAGAGGGACACAATGAGTTAGGAAGCAAAACTAGTGTGATTTGCACAAAGGGATACACACAGCCACCAGAGAATGAATGCATGGCAAAAGACTCGGCCATAGGGTGGTGGGCATTGGTTGTCTAAACAGAGAAGTGGAATTGTATGAGAAGGTGGGTCCAATCTTTGGAGCAGTAATGCTCAGTGTATGATATTCAACTGATAACTCCTGGGTTTTGGACACTGTCCCAGGACTGGGGCTTCCCCCATGGGGTACTCAGAAAAGCCACACTGGCACCGCACAAATGTGTAGGCCACCCAGAAGTCAGCTCAGTCTCAGGGCTTTCAAACTTGAGGCAGGTCACAGACATTTACTTTAGCACTTCGTGCAAGTTTCTTCAGAGGTGCTCGCAAAGAAAACACTACCTGTCCCTTCCTACCTGAATGAAACACAAGGTATCTGAGAAGCTTGCCATAGATCAGCTAGTAGAACACCTCACTGTGTAAAGGACACGGCATTAGAAGCATCTTATCATTTGGACACCTACCTTTGCCTTCTCGATGACGTTTGAGAACTCCCCTACCCACAGGAAGCAGTACTGGGGAGAGAGCAGAAGGAAGCAGTCCCCACTGTTGAGTGACGAGGCTCGAGGCTCCACCAGCCTTGTCTGAACATGTCTTCTGCCTGTGGACAAACCCCAGCATCCTTTTTCCATCATGCAGACATCCATGACAGACACATCTCTTCTACAGACCTCCCATTCTAAAGACCCTATTCATCGGAATTCTCGGACCAGCAGGACATGGAAATTAAGGTGGGCCACACGACAGCCTCATCCCCAGAGTCTCTGTGCTTCTTAGAAGTGGTCTCAGAGCCTTGGATTTTAGCATGTCTGTGGATGTAGTGAGCTCCTCCCATCTCAGGAGAGTGGTAGGGAGGACACCCTGCTCTCTCTTTCACATTCATGCTGCCTTTTCTCCACACAGCCTATTTCCTGTACTGCAATCTGGCCGTGCAGCAGGGAAAGGCATGGCTCCTCACAGGATCTCCTTCCACCCTGTAACTCACAGAGCACTTAGGGAGCACGGCCTTGCATCACTTTCACCCCCACTTCTAAGTGATTGACCAAGTTGGAGCACTCTATTGTTACACACCAGATATAATTGCACATTAGAGCCCCTCACCTGTTGTCTGTGTGTGTTGTGTGCAGGTGTGTGTGCCCATGCAGATGTATATGTTGTATGCACACATGTGTGAAGGTGTGCGCACAGGTATGTGTACCCATGCGTGGATATGTGGGGATCAGAGGAGGGCTTGAATCATTTTCTTCCCTTGAGACAGAACCCGACCTTGCCATTTTATCTAGACTGGCTGGCCTGTGAGCTTGGGGATCTCCTGTCTCTGCCCCACAATGCTCAGGTTTCAGGCACATACACCTGAGCCGGGTTTTTATGTGTGTGTCAGGGATTCAAGCATTGTGCTTATGTAAGAATGTGAGACATCTCCCTACCCTTCACTCATCTTTTAAATACATTGTTAAATACATTGAGAAGGAAATGGGTTTGCAGTAAACACTCCAGAGTCTTTGGCAGAGGCAGACACAATTCCATCCTTCTTGTGATAATCCAGCTACAGAGGTCACCTCTAGGAGTGAAGCTGCCCTCCCTCCTACTGCTCTTCCAAGTCTCATGTATTGCAGACAAACAGGACAGGAGAATGGAACCTGGGGACGGAGGAGGCTCATTCACTCCTGAATTCCCTCAATTCCTTCCCCAGGGATGTGCTTCCTTACTCTGGTTGGCATGGATCATGACTTATCCTGGTAGGGAGAACAGGAAAGGGAAGAGTGCACAGACCCATGCTGGAGACTTCAGACACATCGGGCCCAGTGCATGGCAGTGCTGAAGTAAGGGCTACCAGGGCAGAAGCAGAAGCAGAAGCTGAGACTCTGAAAGGGTAAAGAACTAAGTCCAGCTCAGGGTCTCCCCCCCAGCAGCTCCTGTGTCCACATTCACCAACTCCAGAGCTCCAGCGGGCTGTGTGCACTCTGTGATGCCATAGTGAGGGAGGCAGCACAGCACCTGGCAAGGATGCAGCCAGGAGTCCCACAGTGACCAGTCAGACGACAGGCTGCCACCGCTCCTTTAGACCACTAGGAAGAATACCTTTGATCTGCAACAGCATGAGCTTCTTGTAGGGCACGGCGCTGTTGTTGGAGTTCTGCTCCATCAGGTTGACGCTCCGCAGGCTGATGCTGCTGAAGTTCTCCCTGCTGGCCAGGCCTGCCAGCGTCACTTCTGAGAAGTTGGAATTGGCCGACACTGTGAAGGAAGGTGCAGGAGGATGCTCAGAGGAAAGCCAAAGCTCACGACATAGGTGACTTCTAACTCACAGGACTCAAGTCTGAGGAGCTGTTCCGTTCCAAGCTTAATTACTGTGTATAGAATTAAATGCAGAGGTCCTGGGGCTGCTTGGAGTTAAGTTAGATGGGCTGGGGGGGGGGGCTTGGAATAGACTCTGGAATGGAGAGTGAGGTTGGTCTCTGACTGTACATGACCCTGAGCTATACACCTCTGTTTTAAACTGGCCCAGGATGTGGGTTCCACTACTGTCAAACAGTGATTTTCATGGCATATCATGCATGGCATGATAGCATCTATCATCTTGATATTTGAATATTTTTTGCTATAATTTTTATTTTCCTTTACCTGTAGCATTCATAAACCAATTTGTCAAAGTTGTTGTTCTTATTGAAAGAATATTTAGTGGTGGTGCACTTGCAACCTCAGCACTAGAGGAGACTACCAAGTACCAGTCTAGTCTGAACTACATATCAGACCATAGCTTCCAAATGAGAAAGGAAGGTGGGAGGAAGGAAGGATGGAAGGAAGGGAAGGAGGGAGGGATGGAGGGAGAAAGGAAGGAAGGACGGATGGAAGGGAGAGAGGGAGAAAAGAAGGAAGGACGGATGGAAAGGAGAGAGGGAGGGAAGGAGGGAGAAAGGAAGGAAGGATGGAAGCAAGGGAGGGAGGGAGGGAGGAGGAAAGGAAGAAAAAGGGTAGAGGAGGAGAGAGAGGGAGAATTTAGATGAACTAGTTCTCTTTGCATCCCTACCAGTTGATTAAGAAATGCTTTTCAAAAGGCCAGGACTGCCCGAAGTACCAAACAGCATCAGTGTTCTGTACTCAGTGTCAGGTCCTAGTTGAAATCACTGGCTGACTTTTGCTTCAGTAGTAACATTTTTAAAACAATGAGCTGAGAAGACATAAAGGTTTATTGGCACAATTTTCACATATCTCTCCACCACCTCCTCTTCTATGGGCCTCAGGTTTGGCTTTGGTTGCTATTGGTCCACACTGAAAACCCAGCATCTTGTGACTACAGCCAGGTCTGAGGGCAGAGTGTCTCAAGGCACTGTGCAACTGATCACGTTAATTATAAAATGATGACATCATCCCTACAGGCTGTCACCTTTGTACCTGTGAAGACTTGGTAAAAGATGCCAACCAGGGAGAATCAGTCCCAGCATCTCTAAGGGCTTAGGAATTCTGAGCACTGTTGGTAGAACTGGATGGAGTGAGTCTACATCTGGTGTATAGCTGGGCAGGTGGTTCTAATCCATGCCACTAAGTTGGCCTCCTGCAGGGTGACAAGCACTGTGACACTTGTTAACAGCAGTTGATGCTTTCTGAAAGCACTGGTTTAAAATGCTGGGGTGAGGAAAGAAGTGAATTAGACATCCACACGAGATCTCCTAAGACACTCTTGAATAAGATTAAGTGGAGACAGGACAGCTGACCCGAGGTCATGGGAGCTAGACTGACAACTGGGGAGCCTGCATGGGACCTAACTAGGCCTTCTGCATGTGGGTGACAGTTGTGTAGCTTGGTCTGTTTGAGGGGCCCATGGCAGCAGGGCCAGGATCTATCCCTGGTGTATGAGCTGCCTTTTTGGAACCCATTCTCTATGATGGGATGCCTTGCTTGGCCTTGATGCAGTGGGGAGGGGCTTAGTCCTGCATCAACTTCATGTGCCAGGTTGTGTTGACTCTCCATGGGAGGCCTTATACTTTTTGAGGAATGGATAGGGGTGGTTTGGTGGAAGGCAGGGGCAGTGGGAAGAGGGGAAGGAGGGGGAACTGTGGTTGGTATGTAAAATGAATAAAAAAAATTTAAAATAGAAGGATGAGAGGAAGAGGAGGAGGAGAAGGAAGAAGAGGAGAAGGAGGAGGAGGAAGAAGAAGAAGAGGAGGAGGAGGAGGAGGAGGAGGAGGAGGAGGAGGAGGAGGAGGAAATGGAGAAATGTTGTGCTTGGGTTTTCCAGAGCAGAATTCCAAATTCAGAAACAGATGTCTCCTTCTATCAGCAAAACAGCATCATTTAAACAGCACTTTAGTAAGAACCCTTTAAACTCTGGGCAAGCATACATGTGTATGTGTGAATTCATTTTTGCTAATGAATGCTCTCTGAACTCCCATGGCCCCGCAAGGCAGATAAGGAGGAAATAATAGGTAGGCAGTGCTCAGGGACCCGAAGAAGCAGGCAGTAGCTCCTCCCACTCACTCTTTTCCACTTTCATCCGCTTGGACTCCATGAAGGCAACGTTGAGCCTTTGCTCTGTGTATTCCTGGAGGAGATCATCTCTTGCTGCCAGCAATTTGAGAGGGTTCTTAGAAGCCTGGACTCGGCGCTTGGGCCTAACTGAGCGCTTATGCTCGGCCACGGAAGATGTCAACCTGTGGGCAAAGCAGATGTGGTTCAGGTTGTTGTCTTAGACCTGGGACAATACACTCTGCTACTTTTACTTCCTGATTTCATCCCACTATTCCTGCCGTGATGTAGTCACATCTTGGAGGTAAAGGGAGGTTTAAGCCTACTCTAGTTCTGGAAGCCTTGCCCACTTGTGCCTTTGGTCTCTGTCTGGAGGGTTTCCAGTGTTATAGGACAGCTCATTCCACTGCTGGCTAGGGAGCCCAAGATTCTCTGTACACGCATGGCTACTGCTGCTGTCACCAGCAAGTTCTCAGAGACTCGCCAGATGGCCACTGCACCTCTTTGCCCCATATTAAAAATTTTCTTCACATACAGCTTTTCCGTTCCCTTCACAGCTATTATTAACTCAACCTACCAGCTCCCTGAGGAAATTAACCATACCTGTGAAGAATATATTATAATAAAATAGGCCTTCAGAATCATCTCTGGTCCCTGAGACTGTCCCAGGACTGAGTTGACCAGCCTGGGGAGGTAGTGTGTCAATGATATGATCTTTCAGCAGACTCCTGTGCTGACATGCAACTGTCAAATGTTTAGGTCTCTGCCAGGAAGCATTCTTTGTATACAACCACTGTGCGTGTGAGCACAAGTACACATTTGTTTGAGTCATTACTTATCATAACTATATATAACTATATATCCCACGTCAGCAATGGCAGTTGGATGGGGAGAAGGTGAACTGAACAGACTGACACACCCAAACCAGTGCATCACCTGAGGAGCAGTTTAGGGAAATCTTTACCATGAGAAAACACACCCATGGGAGACACAGTCGCTCTGGTAATTGTATAGGGAAGAGCAGAGCCATGCGGTGGGTGGCTGTGTGCAACTTGCTTAGAACAAGTGCCCCTACTTCTGATAATATCACATGAGCTTCCTCTGGTGCCCATCTCACCCCCATGGTTGGTAGATATCATCTGTCCCCTTGACTATATGGATGATTTTAGGGATAGACTTGGGACCCAAACTGACAGTGAAGGCCAAACCTGAACTTTGAGAGTCTGCTGGGAGGGGAAGCGGACTGTGCTGTGCTGACTGAGTGCTGGAGGTGGAGACCTCTTTCCCTACAGTTGCAGCTTGACCAGGAGAGAAGCCAGTGTATGGAAAGGCAGACTTGAGAGACCGTGCTGCTCGGTACACTCGGGGAAGACCTGAGTTTGAACTAAATTCTTCCCCAGTGCTTTTTGTTCGATTGGTTTTTTTTTTTTCTGATGGCAGTTTACCATATACATTTTTCTGGCATAAGCCAGATGGGATCCTAACACATAATCACTTTCTATAACATTTGAGTGCCTCTGAAAAAACCCATGAATATACTAATTTTATACATCGCTGGTAGCAAAGGAACCTTAGCTCCTAATCTTCTAAGCTGTTTTTATCCAAATATCCAGTTATGAGTAAGTTCAGTGGTGTCCAGTGGGACGTTGTGGGCCTCTGCTCGGTGGTAATGCTACAAAACACCACAACGTGTGAGCGATGTGAAGCCAGCCACACCTTTTAAGACTGCACAAATACCCAGGATACACACAGTAGGCCTGCAAGTCCAGCAGGGCGACCACATGCACGCTCTCTGCACGGAGAAGATGTGCATCTGACTCTAGAGCACATACACACGGCGGAAGTGTCTGCAGACAGACGAGGAGGCACGTGAAGGAAGTCAATCTCAAACTCACTTGGGGGCATACGGGTCAAAAATGACATCAAAGTCCTCCTCCAGCTCCACAGGACTTCTAGGTATACTGTGATCCACGCTGCGGTAGAATTTGGCAAAGGTCTCATCATCATCCAACTTCATCACCTCCTTGACAGATTTCCCAGTGACCGTGAGAACCGTCTCCTGCATCCCGGCAACTGTCAAAACAGAGCAAAGCCCCCGTGAGCTTTAGAGAAACAATTGCTGTGACCCTTCTTTGCACTGTTGTAATGGTCATTTCCCTCAAGTTCCCAGAGTGGGGAAAAGTTCTCTCTTTGCCTCCTCCTGCCCCCCAGCTCCCAGCTTGCTCTGCTTCTCACATAAGGACCTCCCACCTGCACAGTGATGGCTAGGGCAGGAAGCAGGCTGACTGCGCCTACACAAGCATGTGAGCATTTCTGAACCTGACCTCTCCTGGAGGGGAGCTAACCTCAGCCTTGTTCCATCTAAGGGTTCTGCAAACATTCATGCTAAGGGCTGGGAAGCATTTGGCTGACCACACACACAATGCCACTGCGTAGCTTGGGATGCTGTCCCTCCATCCTACAGTGACCATGATGAGACAGAGCTGTGCTCCAATAAGAGCAGGTGGGACACTGGGGAGGTCACGGCACTGCCTGCTGACCACGGGATAGAACACTGCTATTCCATCATGTTGGCTAGTTTATATTAACTTTATAGAGGCTACAGTCATTTATAAGAAGAGAATATCAACAGCAAATTGATACGAGATTGGCCTGCGGGACATTTTCTTGATTCGTGATTGATGTGGGAGGCTCTAGCCCATAATGGTGGTGCTACTCGCAGACAGGTGGTCCTGGGTGTTCTGAGGAAGCAGACTGAACGAGCTATGAGAAGCGTGACAGTGAGCAGCATCCTCCATGACCCTTACATGACCCTTACAGTCAGCTTCCAGCCCTGCTTGAGTTCTTGCTCTGACTTCCTTGGATGATGGACTACAAACTGTAAGATAAAAGAAAACCCTTTCCTAGTCAAGGCTTTTTCAGTCATGGTATTTATGACAGCCATAGAAACCTAACTAAGACAATGGTATAATAGATTTCATTGTTAATATGTCTTACGCAGTCAAATTAGCTACTGTATCACACCCTTATCGTCTGGTTTTCAGTGTTTGTGTAACTTACAGTCTTTAGGGGTCACTGTCAACAGTGCGGGCTACTTGTACCAGGTACTGGTTTATCACGAGAGAAGAAGCTATTTCTGCATACCGCCTTTTGTGTCAACAGCTATTATATTAAAACGTTCATTACATTATACTAAAATTGTCTTTTAGAAAGTATTTGGGATTATAAGAAAAAATACCTTTTGCTTTAACAGAAATGATGCCTGTAACTCAAAGCCAAGAGGACGTTGATTTTGTATTTGCACAGTAACTGCTTTGTGGCGTAAAGGCAATACCATGGAGGTGTACTTGGATTGGATGACATCCCAAGGGTTTGGAAACTTGGGTATCCCAAGTTCAAGATATTATCAAGTGGATCAGAGTTTGAACTTTAATTAGTATTGACTACAGCTTCATTTTCTGAAGGATAACAATAGAAATTTTAAGTGTGTGTGTATGTATAAATTGTTAAAAGTACACTAGAAAGGAGATAATTTGCCTAAGGAGGGAGAGCATTCAGAAGTAGGATTTGGAGAGCCAGCTATGGTGATACACGCCTGTCATGCTAGCTCCTAGTGGGAGACCAGGAGTTCAGCGCTATCTTTGGCTATGTAGTAAGTTCAAGGCTAGCCTAGTCTACATGAGACCTTGTTTCAAAAAACAAAACATCAGTAAAAACAAATGCCAAACACAAACACAAACAGAAACAAACAAACACCCCAAAAGTTAAGAAGTTGAAATTTAGAACTCAGAGGTTCTGAGAGAGTAGATGGTGTCAGGGATTTTAAGGTTTTCTTTGTCATTCATGGGAAGTAGTGAGCACAGTATGATGTAGCGGAAGCTCCCCTCTGCCTTCTGGAATGTACCTTTGTTGTTCAACTTCCTTAGAAAGGTCTCCAGCCTGTCCAACTTCAGGTCTGATTCCAGCTGCATGTCTGGTCTGGCCTCAATATCTAAACAATGGAAACCATCAGTGAGCAAGTGCCCCCGGGGCCTCCCCGTGCCGATGCTCAGTGCTCGCATCACTGTGGACAGGACGACTTACCTTCCAGGGGTTTGGAAACTGGGGTGGTGCCCCTTGATTTGCTGCAGAGAGGGGATGAGACTGGAGTTATGGCTGTGGGTGATGCCAGACCTACAGAACACACAAGTGGACAGTTTAGCATCTTAAAGATTAATTGTGGAAATTCACAGAAGCTAGTAATCTGTACATGCCCCTACAGTATGAGCAGATACACAAGTATGCACAGGTTAGCCACCATGCTGTGCAGGGCTGTGCAGGCCAAATGCAGCCATACCTTTGGTTTTCCTATTCCTATGAACTACATAGCTGTCAAGGTGGTGTTCCAAAATGAATGGAGAAGGCATGGGGAAATATACCTATAGCATGTAAACGGCTCCCAGGATATCCTGGAACAATGAAGTTTGGGAGGCCTATTTGAGTGGCAGGGCCACAGAGGAAAAAACAAAGTGGCACCATCTCCCACAGAGGAAGTTAGGAGTAAGCTGTCTTGTCCTAGGCAGCAAGTGGCCCTGGGCACCAGGATTCGTGTCCAGTCTGGTGGGGGCAGGGGCAGTGACAATGTGGTCTTGTGAGCATTAGACTTAGACTTCTTAGGATAAGATAACTATTAAAACATCTAGCATATATTTCTTCTTTGATATTGCTCATGCTGGTTATAATTCTAATTTTTTATGTATGGTTTCCTCTTCTTTTCCTTGGACAATATTTGATATTTGTTCTTACCGCATATAGTTTTGTATTAGGCTTAAACTCTCCTATTTAGACAAAAGGGGAGGCACTTTTTGGCCAATAGCTTTTAAGATAACATCCCACTTTAAAAAGGTCTCTTGTACGTTAAATGCAGACGAAAAGCATGCGTGAATTTGGTTCCAGTTCCCAGCGCACGCAGAGGACTGCGGATGGCTACTCTTTCTGTGAGTTTATTCCCAGATAAATAAACCTTTGCTTTACTCCATTTTGGGCTACTGTGGAGCTCTTTTTGTACACCAACAGATGGAGAATAGCCCAGAGGTCTGACCTCAGAAGAAAGATTTGGGATTGTGGGAGAATCACACTCAACAGCTGAGGTATGCTGGAAACAACCATATGTTCCCTGAGACACAGGGTGGGAAGTATTTACTCAGTCAAAGGCTGATGAAAGGTAAGAAGGGAAATTTTAGCACAGAGTGGGCACCCAGTTGAAATAAGACAGAATTTAGAGATACCAACCCCCACCCAAGTGGAAGACACCAGGGTGGGAAATAAGTGTAGTGTTTGCAAAGAACTGGATGAGCTGCTACTGTCCTCTGCATCCGTGTGTGTGTGTGTGTGTGTGTGTGGTGTGTGTGTCCGTGTGTGTGTGTGTCTGTGTGTGTGTGTGTCTGTGTGTCCGTGTGTGTGTCTGTGTGTGTGTGTGAGTCTGTGTGTGTCTGTGTGTCTGTGTGTGTGTGTGTGTGTAGGGGGCGGGGGCTGGGCTCAAGATTACACCTGACTAAACAGTTCCATGTTCCCATGAAGAAAAGCCAGGTCCTGCCTCAACCTGTGAAAGTAAATAGTCTTCTGCTGTCCGTGGATGATCCCAAGGTTAACACATTGGTTTCAAAGGCTTCTGCAAATATTCAAGGAAACTTCCCATTGAGATTCCTTCCTTCCCCCACAAACATTCACACAGTGAATGACTTCAACTCTACACAGAACGGAAGGTTTAAGGCGAGGAAATGCTCAACTCAGGAAGTACATGGATGGCAGAACTTGAAGATTGAAGGGATCCTGACATTTAACCATGTCCCAAAGAACAGGAATTAAAGCCCCAAATACCATCAAAACTCTCTGGAGATGACTTAGGGATGCGGCATGTGACTCAGCACTCAGTTTCCTGCATGTTTGGGTCCAGCCTCACGCAGTTCGAGCGTTCCTGGTGAACTAAGGATGCAGGACATCCTTCTCCCTGGAATTCAGAGCATCTTCTAGACATCGGTCACATGCCTGCAAACTGACTTTGTAAGCCACAGCTTACAAAGCTAGAGCCAAAGGGACGCAGGAAGTGACCCACACGGGACAAGAGGGGCTCCTTCATACTAAAATGCCTTTACTACCAAAAGGTTACTTGATTGTGGTGAGGTAGTGGGGAGGCATGACTAGATACTCAGTAGGCCACAAGAAGATGGAAACAACTTAAAAGGAGTTGTGGGAAATAATTGGTTAAAATTACTTGTATCTTTCTGTCTTTTTTTTCTTTTTCTTTCTTTTTTTTTTTTTTGGCAGAGCTGATTACTTCTGAAACCTACAATTGTACTCAATTTCTAAACAGGTAGGTTCTGAAATAGTGACAGACTGAATTAGGGTTCCTCTGCTAAAGAGGGCAGCCACTAAGAAGTTTGCAGCAGAAACACTCCGCGCAGCCATCAAAACCCATCTACTTAACAGTGTGAGATGAAAGGTCAGGGCTTTCTCCTTTCTGCTGAGTTTCTACAGTCATGGCTAAGAGTGCCCTGAGGTGAGTGCACACACGTGTGCATGCACTGACACATGCATCCACACAGGCTCTCACCTTTCTTCACCATTCTTCCTGCCACGGTGAACTGGGTGGAGTCATTGGCCGCTCCTCTGCCCTTCGTCTTCCATGCTTCCTCGCGCACAGTGATGAGGTGCTTCCGCTCCTCAATTGTCATCTGGCTCTCCCGACTTTCTGTGACCCGCTGTGTGCAAAACGCACAGGAGGGAAAATAGAGAAGTGATGGAGGTGCGGATTGCAGCCCGGCAGCGTCTCCCAAGTGAGAAACAAAGTTGCCGTGCCTGATTTGTCTCCTGAGTGCTGGATGAGTTCATGAGGGAAGCTCACCCACAACTGCTCACAAATAGCATGGCTACTCTAAGTCAGCTCCCCAAGAATATGGGTGACACTGAAGCAGGAGAACTGGTTAGAGGGAGTATGAACTGTAGGATCCCCAGGACTGGATGGGCCTTCGGGGGATATCACCTGGGGGTCAGGTAGCCAGGGGACCCCAGAAGAAGGCTCTAGATAACAACAGACCTAATGCCCAGGGTTGACTTTTAGACATAACCCACATGGAGAACAACAATTCTCAGCATTTGAGTCTCTAACATGGCTGATTTCAGTGACAAATGCCAGCTTCCCTATTATCTAATCTATGAATCTTCCTTGCACATGGTTCCTTAGCACAGCTTCATGGTCAAAAGCAATTCTGACACCCTTAGTGGTTTGGATGAGGTAAAGACCTTGTCCCAACATATGACAGATAAATGCAATGTGTGATCCTAGTACAAGTCCAGGAGTGGGCTGAGTAAGGATTACAGGGGAAACTGACACAACTCAGATACAGATGTGGGTTTGGTAAACATGATGCCAGTGTCAAGTCTTGTCTTGATCATTGCATCACTATATCACGGGCATGGGAGAAAACACCCTTGCCTTTAGGAAGTACACATTGAAATACTGAATGGAACAGGTCTCCATGTTACTTAAACTTCTTGCGCATGGTTTGGGAAGGAAAGATAAAATTAGATATGTACAGTCATTCATATACACAGCCACACACAGAGATACACACATATATATACACATTCATAGAGAGTTACACAAAACACAATCTTACACATTCACAATCACACATGTACACTCATATACAAAGCCACACATATTCACAGTCAAACATATAAGGACAGTCACAGAGACACGGACATAGACTATGCAGTCATACATGAAATAGGAGAGGGGGTCAGGAGGGCGGTAGAAGGAAGAGGTAGGAAGAGTGAATATTAGAAATTGGGGGTCAGGACGGGTACAGGAGGCCATGCCCAGTAAGGAAACTTCTCTAGGACTTTTAACTGTTGCCAATATGTAAATTACCTGTCATTACCAAGAATTAAAAACAAAAGCAAGAACATGGACAACCTTTTCACTGAGGATTGATAAAATGACCCTAATTCCAAAGAATGCTTGAGTTATGTAATTTTACTAAGTAAACTATGAAGTCTTGATAAAAGATTCAACAATGTTTGAGAGAATAAATTTGCTTGAAAATGAAGTGTCCAGCATAAAGTTTAATTAAACCAATAGAGCAGCTGGCTAAAAGTATTTCCCAAAATACCCAGAATGCCTTTAAAATTGATTCCTTTCTCTATGGTGAGCTCATGGTCTCTCCAGAGAGCAGGGCACGGTAATGTGGTGCAGTTAATGACTCAGAAAATGCTTGAATCAACAGCTTAGCTCTCCTCGAAACACCTAAAATGTCTTCATAGAAGATGAAATTTCTGAGTCCTGAGATGAAAGCAACTCAACCCAAAGCTTCCTGAAGGAATATTTTTGATTTTCTTCTAAATGCAAGTATTAAATATATAACTTTTTCTTTCCCTGAAAATGTCTATATAACTTGACTAATTGGCATGCTTGGCTTGGGAACCCTTAGTTTGTACCCCTTGGCCTTACAAGGTTCTAGGAAGGAGTAATGAATGTCCACTTGTGTATTCCCTGAAAAACCTATAAGATCCACCCAGAGGTATGAAACCTCTCAAAGTATGAAAAAAAGAATTTTCCCTTGTCCCTTTCTTTTTTTTCAGTTTGAAATGACATTATTGTCTTGCTTTTCTCTCTATTTCTTTTCTTGTTTAATTCTGTTAAGTTCTGTATCCTGTCTTAGGGTTAGCAGATGGTTGTTTGGGAGCCTGGAGAGAGGCAGAACATGGGCAGAGGACCCACCTCATCCAGAAGTCATTCTTTTAAATAGAGATGCCATCGAGAAGCAGAGGGAATGAGAAAGAGGATGTGGAGGAGGGTGTATGGGAAGAAAGGAAGGTGCAGACACACCAGGACAATCAGTGAGCTGCTTCCAGGTTGCCAGGATGCTGCGGATTGGCTTGTTTCCCTCCAAGCTCCTGGGAAATCACAGCAGATCCACACATCTCACCCACAGGGATGAGAAAATACAGAGGAGAGAGCGGCTCGGGTATCATTAGGACTAGCAGCAAATTAGAGGGCAAAATTCCTCCACAGTTGGTAAGTTTCATAGGAAGAACTATTATAACCTGGCTTACTCAATAGCAGAAATGACCACATGCTGAGTAGCAGAGATAAGGTCAAACTGCAGAATTCTGTATGATGCTAAAGGATTTAGCTTGCCTTCCCCTGACCAAAGATTACAACCCATGTTCGCATACCGTGTCGAGTGATCTAAAATTGGAGACAATGATGAAGAAGCCCTGTGCTCAGAATTTAAAGTGATTTCGGTCTGGTCTAGAGTCAGCGGGGGGCTTCTGATGGACGATGGGTAGAACAGTACCTCATTCTCCACAGCCTTGGTGCAGGCGAGGAAGCAGAGGATGTGCAATGCCTCACAGAACCTGTGCACTGCCTAAACACACTGTCTCCTTCTCTGTGCTCTTGTATCATGAAACATGAAGACACTACCACTGCTGAGTACAACGACTTACCTGGTCACTGACCACTGATAAGTCATAGCCATGTTAACACTGAAATTATCTGGGCAAACTGTGAAGTAGTAAAAAATACATTGTTTCAGACGTTCTAAAGTTTGAGGTCATACAATATAAGCTGCTTTTGATAAATATTATTTTTCTTTCAATCTAAAACATCCATGGTGAACCAGCCCATGTTCATGGATAGATGGTCAGCTCAGTGCTCAGCAATCTGATGATCTACAAATGCATTGCAGTCCCAACAAAATCCCAGTAGCATCTTTTAAAAATTATCTTGAACTCGAATGTATGTGGGGAAGCAAAGCCTTAGGACAGGCCACAGAAGAAGAATGGAGGTGGAGGACTCAACTTTAAGATTCATAAAGCTGGGCTGGAGCGATGGCTCAGAGGTTAAGAGCATTGCCTGCTCTTCCAAAGGTCCTGAGTTCACCACATGGTGGCTCATAACCATCTGTAATGAGGTCTGGTGCTCTCTTCTGGCCTGCAGACATACACACAGACAGAATATTGTATACATAATAAATAAATAAATAAATATTTTTAAGAAAAGATTCACAAAGCTACAGGACTCAGGACAGTATGGCGCTGACTGGAAGCCCCAGAATCTGACCCGACTGAACTCTGAGGAGGAAAGGAATAAAGACAAAACAGCAGAGAAAGGAGCCTTTTAAAGGAGCCATATGCTGCAATATTTGCATACTTGCTTAGCTGCAAAACAAAAGCACACAGACTAGATCACATATAATTCACAAAAACTAGCTCCAAGTGGTTCATAGACTTGTATGTGAACTGGAAAACTACGAAACTTCTAGAAGATAATAGAAAAATCTAGACTTGAACTTAATGGTACATACACACACCCCGCCCTGCCCCACTACTAAGATCAAACCTATGACCTTGTGTATGCTAATTTCCCAGCCTGGGTGCACTTCAGTTTTAGGTAGAATACCAAAGGCATACTCATGAAATAACTAGTCGGCAAACTGCGATTCCCTGAGATTAATAAGCTGCTCCGTGAAAGATCCTGTCAGATCTTGTCAGAAGAACAAGAAGACAAACCACAGGATGGGAAGAAATACTTGTAAAACATATTAACATGGGATTGTCACCGAAGATTAAAACCCAACGGCTGGGAAGCAAATGGGCCGACCATCTGCACAGATTCACTACCGGAGAAGATACACGGCTGGAAAACAAGCATATGGAATGCATTCAATGTGGAACACCGAGAAACTTAGACATCGAAACGGGACCCTGTGATACAGCTTTTAGAATGGTCAAAATCTAAGGCACTGACGTTAAATGTGGTACAGACACTGAGCAGCAGGACTCGTCACTGGATCTGGAGGAATGTGAAACGGCACAGCTGGAAGGTTTCTGAAATCAAGCATGCTCTTACTGTAGGATTCTGTGGTCACACCCTTTAATACCCGAGCAGTAAAGATGGCTACTCTGGTGTATTCTGGGCTCCTGCCTTAGAACTGAAAGTTTAGAGACAGAAAAAGCAAACCTTTTCCTTATACTAGTTTCATGATCTCAAGGGAAATTCACACTACTGAATCCACCTAAAATTTTGGAGTGAAGAACAGGCTGTGGATTGACCCACTTTGAAAAATATGAAAAATTAAACACCCACAAGATCACACACAGAGATGCACAATCCCCGTTTTCCACACACAAATGAAATGCCAGAGAAAAGCTGCTTTCTTCCACGTGGAGCCTCCTCTACCACTCAGAAACTGCATTGAGGTTTCACATGTATAGGCTTTTCCTCACCTGATAAATAGATACAAAAGACAGGTATGTATGGGCAGCAGGCATAGCAGGAGAATGAGCAGAAGCAAACACAGGTTCCTATAGGGCAAAGCAGGAGGCTTAGCAGTAAACCGGAAGGTGGACCGGAGTGTGAGAGGGGAGCGAGCTGGGTAGAAGAGACGCAAACAGCAAATTGTCTAACAGTTAATTTTCTCATTGAAATTGTGGTTCCCTCTAAGAACACCCTTCCTTTGGATGTCAGTGCTGAATGGCATACATCCCACACAGTCCAGCCCATGCATCCGAGCCAGGGCTGTGCAGTAATTGAATAAGTTAATGGCAGATTACTGCAATATACATATATTTGTTTGAGATGAGATCTGGGCCTTTTGTCAACAGTTTAAATACATTTATGTAGTAACTATTAAAACATTTAATACATAAATGTTTGCTTTCTTTATGACATTTTCATAATATGACTTAAAAATAGTTTAAGGACACAGGATCAGCTTCCAGACCAGATGAAAGCTGTATGCTGCCTAGGAAAACAAAATAAAAACCAAACCAAACCAAAACAAAACAAAAAACCAACAGAGAAGGCATTGGCATCATAGGTACTATGAACTTAGAAGACATGTTAGCCGCTGTAGCGACAGTTGTCTGTGCTTGGGTGAGCAGAGCGAGCCTCTGCCCCTCTACGTGAATGTGATGCATTATTCCTTCAAAGCTGGGTTGTTTTCATTTTCAGGTAAGGTTTCCAGAGAATTTCACAAGGGGCCAGACAAAATAGTAGTCACTGCCCGAAGCACTTACCTGAGAAGTTCCCACGCCGCTAAAAACAAAACAAAACAAAAAAACAAAACCCCCTGCTGTGTAGGACCATTAAGCATGCTCAGGATGCTCAGGAATGTGCCACCTCCCTCTAAATGAGACAAGTCTTTTCCTATACGATATAGACACACAAATATACATATCATACATATAAATATTTGAGTTTTCCCAATAAAAATCCCAGGCTTTCCTTTGTGAAGCCATGATTCTGATGATGGGTCTATGGTAGAACCCCCTCTTTGCTCTTCTGTGTCCAGGCTGCGCACCTAAGCTTGGCACCCCCAGGGAACCCACCGTGTTGCAGAAGGCCACCTGCGTTAGAATCAGGCTTACCCAAAGCAGGTTAGAAATGGCATTATCATCTGTAAATCCTCCTTCCTCCTACAGGTTAAAACAAACAGGAGATATTGGAGAGGGCCGGGAGTCACCATCACTCTGTGCCCGGGTTCAGTCAGCCAAAAGCATGCATGTGCTCACAGTCCAGTGTGAAAAACAGCAAGCAGCCTCATGCCTCAGGGCAGGATGGCAACCCGTGAGCAGGCAACAGCCAAGGGCTTGCTCTCCAATATGCTTTCTCCTCAGCCATGGCAGACAATACCGGCATGAAGGTGACAGAGGTTCCCTTCTTGAATTTTCAGTAGCATTTTGGTGATGTCTGAGATCTCAACCTTAGCTGACCTCACCAGAAGCAGGAAGAGTGCCCTATCCCCACCTGGGACTCACACAGATAGAGACTGTTTTAACAGCCAGATCTACAATGGGCTTTTATTTCATGGAGAAAGCCCCAGACACTGGATGACTGTCTTCCAAGGGACACAGGAGCCACCTTATATGCTGCAACGTTTACTGGGCCCAAGTAGGGATGGGATTAGCTGGTGAAAATAAAGATCTAAAATTTGCTGGAAAGAAGATACCTGGAAGGTCACTTTTTTGTTTTTTGAGACAGGGTTTCTCAGTAGCTTTGGAGCCTGTCTTGGAACTTGCTCTGTAGACTAGGCTGGCTTGAACTCACAGAGGTCCACCTGTCTGCCTCCCAAGTGTTGGGGTTAAAGGTGTACACCACCACCACCCCACTTGGAAGGACACTTCTTTAAGACCTTGTTTTGTTTTCCTTTCTCTTGATGGACATGGAAACAAAGCCTGCCCAAGTGCTTATGTCCCTCAAAGAGTGGAACAGTCCGTGTCACCACCTCGTGGCTTTCGGATCCTTATCACCAGGGGCATGTGCCGTATCTAGGAGCCCAGACATTTGTCCACGCTCCCTGACCTGCTCTAACTCAAGTCCAGGAGACAGGCATGGAGGGTGCTGGGTGAGAGAGGAGGAAAAGGAAGGGACCTGAGTGGTTTCCATTGGAAGTGAGGATAGTGGGGGATAGTCAGAGTTCTGAAGAGTCAATTCATTAATCTTGATATTTGAAGAATATAATTAGAAAGCGAACAAATGCTCCCTGGGGCTGAAATCTGAGAACAAAAGGTCTTTTTAAGTTTATTTTCTTCAAAGCTATTCATGACCCAAATAAGACCATATTATCATATAGGACCCAAATTGGGGTGTGAGCACCCCAATTTCTTTTCTTTGGAGACAACTCCTTTGAAGAGAAAATGATTGTAGATTTTCAAGGTATTTATTTTGTTGTTGTTGTTGATTTGAAATAGGGATCATTCTAAGTCTGGGCTGGTCTGAAACTCACTACGTAGCCTAGGCTGGCCTTGAATACACAGCAATCCCCCATCTCTGTATCCTCAGTACTAGAATTATAAGTGTCTGCCACTATGCCAATCCCATCCCCTAGTGTCTTTTTCAGAAATAATTTCATCTATTTTGTGTCGATATGTTTTGGCTGCACATATGTCTGTGCACTGAGCATATGCCTGGTGCCCACGGAAGCCAGGAGAGGGTATCAGATTCCCTGGAACTAGAGTTTCAGAGAGTTGTGAACTCTCATGTGGGTGCTGGGATTTGAATCTGGATTCTCTGGAAGAGCAGCCAGTGTCCTTAACCAATGAGCCATCACCCCAGCCTTGCTAGTGTTGTTTCTTACTAGATCCTCAAAGTTTTAAATTATCAATATAACATTAATAGAAATAGGAATTTATTTTGTTTTTGTGGGGTGTGTGTGTGTGTGTGTGTGTGCACATGCGGAGGTCAGAGGTTAATGTTGGTGTCTCCAGTGTTTCCCACCTTTTATTTTGAGACAGTGTCAATCACTGAACCTGAATCTTGACAATGGCCAGCTAGTGCGATGGGGCAGCAAGCACTCACCAGACCTGGCTTCTGTGTGAGCACCATGCTTCCCTAATCAGGTCCTCACGCTTATGTGACAAGCATGTTATTGACTGTGCCAACTCTCCAGCCCCTATTCTTATTTTTTTCTGAAACAATGCCTCGCTCTGTAACCAAGGCTGGCCTAAAACTATGTTGCTTAGGTTAGTCTTGAACTTAAAGCAAGCCTCCTGTCCCAGCCTCCAAAGTGGAAGGGCTGGGACTACAGGTATGTGTCACCATGCTGGCCTATCTTCCAGGTGGCTGCTGGAATATTTAAAATTTCCCCATGGCTTCCATGACATGCTTCCTGCCCAGGAATGCATGGATCTTCATGGGAGAGATGGGCATGACTTACTGAGACCTCCCTCACATTTGCCTCTTCTATGTCCCCACAGCTGCAACCTGTGTCTGTGGACCAAATATAACAACCTAGACAATGCATGTTAACACAAATGTATGCTGTTTGAAAGATTCAGAAGCTGGGGTGTGAGTGACCATAAAACCAGCTGTGTAGTGCCTGGGTGTAAACACGATTGGTGGTACCTGCCCAAGGGCAGTCATCTAACTGAAGCAACAGCTCTTGTCTATATGTGTATGCCACCAATGTCTTCTTCCCTTCTCTAGGGTGCCATTCAGACAGGCCCTTGGAGTGATCTTTTAAGCATGCCTAGAAGAAACCCCAGATTTAAGGCACTCTGCCTACCTCATGTGAGCACGGTGAAATAGCGGACTTAGTAGACCGGCTGCCCGTGGGAAGAACTGTGTGCCGTCAGAGGCAGCTGAAAGTCACTTGACCTCAACAGAACCTGAGATTTCCCCACATGAGGGACAAGAGTCTGAAATAGACTGGCTTATTTTAACTTCAAAGAGTTTATTGTCTCGGCCAGGGTGAACTAGGCCACCGGAGAGCCCAGGGACAGTGAGTTCGCCATGGCTGCAGAAGCAGAAGCCGAGGGAGCGCAGGTGGCTCTGCACTTGCAGTGGCCGTGCCTAGATCCCTGCTCTTTCCAGCACCAGGTTTTCTACTCCAAGAGTGAATGCAGGGGTAGCCCAAGTCTCGCCTGTAAGAACATTAGCCAAGTGCCTGGGCAGCTCAGACCCATCCTCTACCACGTGTTCTGGAAATGACACGAGCCCTCACTCTCCCTGATGCCCTTCTGCACTGTCCGTGGGGAGTCCACCACATCCAGCTTGGGTTTTGTTTTCACCTACCTGTAGGTGCAAACTTTCACAATGGCTGCACTGGGAAGTGACATCGTATACAGCTAATAGCTTTGCTACTCAGGTATATGCTGAAGTCATTTTGGACCAATCGTTTCAAGATTCTTTTTTTGTGGTGTTTGGGGAGAACACAGGGCCTAGTACATACTAGGCCAAGCACCTGCCCACTGAGCTACAACATTCCTGACCCTAAGATTCTTTTAAATAAAATTTTTGGCCAGGGAATAAATTATTTAAAGGACCTGTTTTTTTTTTTTTAACCTTAGGATCCCAATTTTACACATATATTTAGTATCTAGGTATAGTTAAAACCATTATAAATGGCTGAGAATAAAAAGCTATTTTGGGATCATCTTCAACACCATATATGTCTCACACTAAATAATTCAAGTGCATTTTACACCTGAGCACACACATGGCTAGGAATTAAATGCCCCCAGTCATGATCTTTAACAATGCTACGCCATTCCAGTAGCGCCTGTGTGGACACAGCAGGGCTGTGCTGTATTTTCTGGGACCCTCGCCTTACCGTCCTATGTGCACATTCATCTTCATGTATGTTTTTAATACGCAAAGGCTACATTCAGAATTTTTCTCTCTGGTACGCTACTATTTGTTTATTTGTATTTGTAAAATGGGTTTTTACTACGTCGCCCGGGCTCATGTCAAGTTTCTGGGGCTCACGTGATTCATCTGGCTCGACCTCTGACATCCCTGCACAGGCATGAGCCAGCACACCTGGCTCCAGACAGCTCCTTTGGAAGCCCCTGAGGTCCACTAGTCGAACCTTTATATGCGTGTGTGTGGGTTTGTATGTTTTCTGTCTGAACACTTTAGAAGGTTCTAGAAGTGGGATAGCTGGGCGTGGCTCAGTGTGCCATTCTGCCCCAGCCAGCAAGCACACTTGTATTTACGGAGTCAGTGGGCAAGGACATCATGGCTGAAGCAAGGAATGCCTGGCCAAGGCTGATGATCACTACATTTGTGATTCAAAAGTCATCGATATTCCCACATATGAAATATTTGCAAATGCAAATTAATTTAATTGAAATTCATATATAATAAAAGTCATACTTCATCACCATGAAACAGGCTCAAGATTAGGCAGAAAGTCCTCATGGACCACAATCAGGCCCTTAGTTTTGAGAAGTAGGTCTTAAATCTCTGCGCAAGAAATTTAAGTCCACATTGGATATGTGACTTTTAAACTGGGTGCTGTCTCACTTGGAAGACTTTGATCACATTCTAACACAGACTTCACTTAAGATGTAACTGTGAACACGTTTGGAGACTGAGGCACTTGCTTGCTGAGGCAACCGGCAGTGCTGGGACCAATCCTTGACCTCAAGCCCTGACTTCATGGTCAGCTTTAGCAGCTTTGTGAGAAACTGTGCCTCCTGAGGGCAAGGAAGGGCCAGTGTCCTACAGCAGCGGGTGTTAAGCCACACCGTGTGGTGTTAGTGCGGTGGACACAGTACCTTCTTCAGGGACTGCTCCACCTCCTGGATGTGCAGGCCGCTGGTGGCCTTGCCGTATTCCTGCTTCCGGATCAATCTGTTCTTCCAGTCTTCCTCACCGCTCTTCTTCAACAGTGCCAGCCTGGGAGGAAGACACAACAATGGAGGATCCAGCACCGCATGCTTAGAACCACAAGAACCTCTTTTCCAAGACAGCCCCAAAGATGGTTTAGTTGGTGGGAAGGAAAAGCTGAAAGCCAACTTGTCCGATAAAAGGTGCTCTATCATCCTAGTAAGGGAATGGCTAACTCTGCTTTCCTCTCTGGGGCTGGGAGCCAGGGAAGACAGAAAAGGAACCATCCCCAGCAAAATGTCTTCTAGTGACCCCTTCTGGCCACTAGGTGAAATAACACCTGAAGATGCACACTGCAGTTCTTTGCAGAAAATGCTGCTGAAAAGGGCTTAAAAATACAAACAGGCATTGTGCAATAGTAAAGGTAATTTCCAACAAAGTAAATTATGCTCATGTATGGAAATTTCATAGTGAAACCCTGCACATTAAATATGCACTAATGAAAACAGAAAGATATGGCATCTTGTTATTATACCTCAACTAAAGACAAATTATGATTCTGTTCTCAGCCCTGGTATTCCCCCATAGACTAATCCTGTCTTTACAGTGTATTCTTACAAAAAAAACTTCCTCCTAAAGACCCATTAAAAATTATTAGTTCAATTTTCTCCAAGGGAAAAAATGTACCAAAAAAAGAAATCTCATTACAAGGATTGTTACTAACACACGTTAGCTCAGGCATTGCAAGATTTCATCAAACGCCACTTTCACATTTGGGTCTCTCTGAAAAGCCGTTTTCCAGAACAAGGGGCTATTTCAGACAGCTTTGCTATCACGAAGGAAAACATCTCGGTCACTTAAGTTCAATAGAGTGGGACAGACAAAAGGGCAAATGGGCCCCGAGACTCAGGCATGTCGTTTTCCTTGCCTTGTTTGTCCTGCGTGAACTGGACTTGGGATTCTCCAAGGCCCAAGTGCTAAATTTCCTTATCTATTCAATATCTGCATTGGAGGTGGGATGCCTTACCCTCTGTAATAAAGACATATTCACTCATTTGCTGGTGGTTCTTGGATAGAACCCAGGGCTTGTTTTTGCTAGGCAAGTGTTCTACTACTGAACTGCATAAAAAAGGAGTTTTTGTTAAGCAAATAAGGAACCAAATCTTTAGTAAACAAGAATCCATTATATTTACAAATGTATGCATAATCCTCTTTTATAGTTTCTGTCCCTCTATCAAATAATGTAAATGAGCTCTGAAGAACTTCCTAAAGGATACAGAACTTTGAACTTTGGGTCTAATTCCTCTTCAATTTCTTCCTTCTTTCTAATCTCTTTCTTATGTGGCGGCAGATAAGACCACAAAAGGACCCTTCTATAAACTCCTCTGAGTTGTCTTACAGATCTAACACAGGCTCACGTAGCTTCTATAGTTCTACAACACTAGCATGACCACTCATGTATTAGAACATAGAATCTGAATTCCTTCACATATTCTCACTTCAGGTCATAGTTATGGCTATTATCTGTCCTGCCCCAATTACTCTGAATGTGCCCATTTTATTGCAGTAAGAAAATCAAACTATTAGAAAGAAACAATCATGACTGTGAGCTCCAAAAGCCCCGGGAAACAAGGCCTCCAGCTGGTGAGCTTGCCAGGCCTTCGCCACCCCAAAGAGGGGTACATCCAAGCCATCATCTGGAGGAGGCGTCCACACTCTCACTCACCCCATAAACTGCTCTCAGAACCAGCTAGTCTCTCGCCTTACTCTCTTACTCTCTGTCATCTTAATCAGATTGGAATCTAAATGACTTACAGAGTACAAACCCTCGACCTCAGAATGGAGACTGTTAAAAACGATGTAGTCCTCAACAAACTGGGGTTCCCTGGGGCTGCTCTGAGGGACATGAGACTAATTCAGAAAAGGCAAGCTGCGGAACCTGAAGTCACTCGGTCCCCTTCCTTATGTGCCTCTGATGTGCACAGGCATCTTCACAGGTCAAGGCTCCTCTGAGCGAGAGCCTCCTGATGTGGGTGGGAGAGAAGGCGTGATTCCAAATCCTGCCTCTCGAAGTCCCAGTTGTTCCCTTCCATGAGAAGTCGGTCTGAGCAGATACACAATGCCTGTCTCTGTCAGCAAGAGCAGAGTCTTCCGAGTTCCTGTGATGTTCTCCCAGTCCTTTGCAGACTGATTTCCACAGAACTATTCCATTCTAAAGCCCTGAAAAACTGCTTCCAAAGACTCCAGAGTAACCAAAATAACCTGGGAGAAAGTGCTTCAGCTGAGCCCATGTGGTACTTGGCCCAGTTCACTTCCATAACTCCAGTGATGAATAACTTCATAATAACACACAGTGAATCTGAGTGCATTATCCCGTCCCTGCTGATTTCCTGTTTGCTGTTCAACAAGCTGTGGAGGGTGGCAGACTTTCCAGTCTTGTCCTCGACTCTGGCAATCTCACAGTCCTTCATCCCCACGCAGAGGGCTAAGGTTGGGTCGACACATGACATAAATCCCCCTGTGTAGTGCCAACCATTGTCAGCGCTTTTAACATCTGCCAAGTCTGAGGGCTATTTGTGGGCTGTGATGTGGAGAGTTGGGGCATCTGCTTCATCTGAGGCTCCACATCCAGTGAGTGGCACAGTATTAGCCGCTAACACAAGCCAACGGGACATGTGCTTACCAGGCCACTATGGGAGTGTCTATGGCTCTTTCCACAGCCCACTCTCTTCAGCAAGAATTCTGGCTTGGGATCTTCCTGGATGAGGACAAGTTTTTCCAGCCTCATAGCAGGGATGGGTCAAGGAAGGGACAGGCAGACCATGTGCCTCTAAAGCCAACTAAGGTATTTGTATTTCCTCTTAGACATTTCCCTTGTTTCCAGAGAACTGAGCAGCACTGATGAGTAATTGCTTCAGATCCTGATCATAGCCAATGAGAAACTTGGGAGAGTCATTAATAATAACTTTGTGCCTGCATTTATCTGGTGTCTAAGATGCCAGGATCTTGTACGTCCAAGCAAGAGCTCCACTTGGAGCCCTGGTCCACCCCTTTTTTTTTTCTTTTCTTCATTCCTCTCCCCCCCCCCTTCTGATGCTATGTAGTATATGTGGGCGACCCTGGGATCTGCCTGCCTTGTTTCACCTGTAATCATGGGGCAGGGGTGGTGGCACAGATGTATGTGCCTGTGCCTAGCTTCTATGTTCATGCCAGGGGTTCAGACTCAGTTCATCGGGCTTGAGTTGCCTACTGAGCTATTACCCAACCACTTGATTCTTATTTATTTGAACTTCTCTGGTGCTGAAGACTGGGGCTGGAGCCTTGTAAGTGCTAAGCATGTATATTCTACAAAGAGCTAGACCTCCAGCCCTTTGTATCTATTAAGTGGAAGACTGCATGGTTTGAGTACAGTGTGCCTCTTCTGTCATTACGGCAGTGTCCTAAACAGATCTTTGGGGGTGAAGAGATACTTAAAGGGGATTAATGCCTTTTTCCTGGGAGTGACTTTATGCTCTGGACTCTGGATTAGTAATGAGTGAGCTGCCTGCAAAAGCACGACTCTTCGTTGCTCTCTGCATGGGTGTTCCCCTCTGTGAAGTGTAGATATGGCGCATCCTTCAAAAGGCCTATTAACTACTGCAGTCAATCCTTGAGAGCTGGCAGAATCACTAAGGGTTAGACTCCCTCAGTGGATGAATTAATCCCCCCTAGGGGGGTGGTGATTCAGGATTTAATGTCATTTTTGGGTGTGGTAGAAATTTCTAGAGATGGGGCATCTAGTGAGAGAAAGCAGCCCTGCCTGCTGGCTGTCTGCCTCCTGGGAGCCAGGGGCATCAGGGCTAGCCAGCAGTGGTCTTTGAGACAGCCAACATAAACCTCTTCTCCTTCAAGCCAGGCTTCGCAGGTAGCTGTCTCAGAGAAGAAAAGTCTGACGGACTTAGCGTGACTTTCCTCCATGTTCTAACATGTCACAAGGCCCTCTACCTGGTATGGCTGCCAAAGTTAGTCTTTGATTTTCCACAACTGTGAGCCAAAGTATATTCTTTTGCTTTTCAAATTATTCAACCCTGATATTCCTTGCAGCATCAGAACTAAAAGGCCGAATCAAAGACAGACAGAGGCCAGACCTTTCTCTATTTTTACAGCAATTGAAGGGCTTACTGGGACTGAACTCTTCAGCTCAAAGCAAGAAGCCAGACTTTGCTGGGGAGACATGGACACAGGCTATGTGGGCTGCTATGGATCAAGCTGGACATTCTAGACTTTGTAGGTGCTCTGTTGGTTGCTGTAACAAACATTCCAACAGAAGCAACTCAGGAAGGGTTTGTTTGGGCTAATGGCGTGGGACAGTAACACCCCAGAGTGATGGGGAAGGAGTGCAGAGTTCACAGTGGCGGGAGCGTGTGACTGGGGCTCCTTACATCTCAGTAGACCAGGACAGAGATGGGACAACACACACAGCTGGACTGTAACCCTCAAAGGCTTACCTCAGTAAACCAAACCTCTTGTTCCAAGTGTTTGACAACTCCCGCCAGCCACTAGCTGAGGATCAAGTGGCCAAATAGAGGCACTTCAGATACAAACCCTAACATTTCATGTCAAAAAGATGAAGGAAGTTAAGGGACGCTGATATTTCCTCAAATAACAAACTTTTTTTTTTTTTTTTTTTT